GACTTGCTTTGCTGTAATAGTCACTTTATTGCGGCAGTGTGTACCTGAGCCCCCAGTATCTCCGAGGTATGCCGGTATTTCTGTTAGAGCGTCACTAAGAAGTTAAGACTGTCTAGCAGGGATTCAAAGCAGAGTTTTCTGGAAATGGTAAAGCATACAGATCTCAGCTACAATCAAGCTACTTCCTCTATGTACTTCCTTTCTAGTTATAGCTGATACCTCTAAAATCCTTTTTAGAACTCAGACTCAACCCTTGCTGTCTGTTTCAGTGCCCTTATGCCAAAAGATGGAAGGATAGTAGGTAGAAAAATTGCGGCCTAGAAAGTATGAGTAATTTTTAGTTGGATGCTCCTCCATCTTGTAGTCAGCATTTTTATTTACAGGTACAACTATATGTTTACTGTGTGTTTTTTCTACTGACAGAGGATGATAAAGTTAAAACAATATGATTATCATCAAAAATGATTGATAAATCACAGATCATGTATTAGATATTTTAATATAATTTATAGTGATTCATATTAACATCACCATAAAAGAACTTAAAAGTTATATCTCTCAAAGTTATTTCAAGTTGTAATAGAATGATTTTAGAATATTTGGCAAGGGATATTTAGCAAAATATATATGATGCAGTTTAAAAATACCAGCAAATCACCAACAAACTATGCTAAATTTTCATTTTGGTTACAGAATTTCGAGGATGTCCGGTGTAAATGTATTTGTCCTCCTTATAAAGATAATTCTGGACATATTTATAATAAGAACATATCCCAGAAAGATTGGTAAGTATTCTAGTTTATTGAATTACATGTCCAATTTCTTTTCATGGTTGTTAGTGTTTCATCCAATGTTGAGTTTGTATGTGTGTGTTAACAAAAGTGTCAAATTTTATTTATACTGAGAAAGTGTGAGTGAGGCTCTGGCTGCACATCAGACTAAAGAAATGTAACCAAGATATTAGGTCTCCTGTAGAGAGCGTTACATATGGGGAGAGGCTGAGTTAAGGCATTCAGACTACCCGTACTACCTTCCTGGGGGTCTCCTTCCAGCCACTCACCCAGCCAAAGCTTGATAGGAACCTTTCTCCCTCTGGCTTTTCAGTGAACGTTAACAAGTCATATTTATCCGGGTTGCTCTTATTACAACTTTGTAGGTTTTGATAATATATTTCTAAGTATGGGAGGCTGTGTTTAAAAGTGCCAGAAGGCTTAGGAAGGAATGGGAATGAGCCTTGTATATCCAGTTTCCCAATTGGTGTGCCATGAATCGGTTATACGTATTCCAGGATGTTGGTCCCTTCAGTCCTTGGGGGAGTCAGGCAGGCTCTTGAGGACCACAATCCTGATTGGCTAGCTTCCAGCAGCCTTCTCTGTTTACTCCAGTGGACTCTACAGTTGTTAGTTTTTCTTATATGAGTAATGAAACTATTGGGAAGCTGTTGTTTTGGAGTAGGGTGTATGTGCTCCTTCCTGTGGAATTGTGATGTTTTATGATTTGTAACTATAGTAGAAGACTGTTAGTCTAAGCATATGAGGAAAATAGCTGCAACTACTAGGTACACTAATATGTACTTGATGTTTCATACATAACAAAGAGTTTGAAAGCTTGATTAAATTCATTCTGTTAAGAGATTCCAAGCTGACTTTGAAAAAGAAATGGAAGCCTTTGGGCCTGTTTAGTTCCTCTAGTGTTCTCATAATATACATTTAGAGACAGTCTGATATTTGTTAAGTGTTTTTTTGAGAACTTCTTGTAAATTTCTTTGTTCTATGGACTCATGGTGTGACACTGTAGGATAAGCACTGAACTGCCAACCAGAAAGTTTCAGCGGTTCAAACCCACCAGCTGCACCTGGAAAAATCCTATGCAGGATCGCTATGAGTAGGAACAGATTCTCCAGCACTTAGCAACAACAATTTTAAACTGCTTGCATTTTGGCTATATTCTTATAAGCAAGTCAGTTTATATGATACAAGAAGATTCAAATATTTCTGTAAAATTTTTGAATATGGTAAACATTTACAATCACTTTATTTTATTATCAATAATAGAATGTGATGCCTATTCTTTGAATGCCAAAAGGAGTGACAATTCAAGTGATTAGCTCTGATCATTTCATTATTCGGTGCTATGGTGCAGTGAATTATTATAAGTGAATTATGTCTCTCCTAGCCATAGTCTTTGTAAACTCCCAACAAATAACTTTGTCCTGATGGGTCTGGGTAAGATAAGATGGGGGAAAATGTTGATGGACTGTATGAGTCAGTTATGACTGATTATTTATTAGCAGAGCTAATTGTGATCGGTCGATTTTGCCATGCTGCTGGATATAAAGTACGCCATCTCAGAAGCAGAGATGAGGCTAGACTGGGTGGGATGGAGTGGAAGAGGGGAGAAGGAAATCTCACTTCGAATTGAACCTCCTCAACCCAGGGAAAGAAACAGGAGTAGTGGCAGCAGAATCAAGAGCCGGAACACCAGACAGAGCAGTAGGCTTCCCAGCCCAGGGGGCAAGTAAAGCTGAGTGCCTTTGGGCAGGAGCCTCATCTGTGAGGTGTGGGACCTCCAGGCACTTAATTGGGGAGCTATGTTTGCTTACCCACAGAGCCTAGCACTTTAGACTGAGGTTTAGAGCAGAATGGAGTGCCCTTTGGGCATTTACCAGAAGCCCTAAAAGAGCTTTATCGAATTGCCCAACAGGGCAGAGGTCTGCCAGCAGGCACAACTGAGAAGGTGCTGTCATGAATAAAAGAACTATGCCCTGAGCATTTTCTAAATCCTGAATTGCAACCTGTTAACTTCCCTGATAAACCCCATAACTTTGAGTATGGAGTATGAATTCCATTGTGGCCATGTGATGGATTATCAAGGAAAGATTGATGTCATTTTTATACAACCTCAGACAGAACCCTATGTCACTCATCCCTGATTAGGGGTCAAAATCAGAGAATTTTGAAAATAAACAGTTGAAAACAAGGCTTGCTTGGTATTTTCCCACCCTTCCTAAGTTCCTTGCTAGCTCAGCCTTTAAATGGGGATAACTTCCCAATTGACACTGAATGTTTTTAACTGGCTTTAGAAGGGTAGGTAAGTTATGATTAACCAGTGTGTTATCACTTCTCAAGGCATCCAATATCTGGTAGGTTTTATATATATATATACATATATATATAAATTTTATTATGAATTCTAGATATATTTTTATCTTCCATTTCCTAGATCTTACATTTTGTCTACTTACTAACTTTAATTCCTCATTGACTTATGTTGGCTGACTTAGAAGTTTGAGTTGTCTGGTTTTGTTTGAGGTGTGACTTGACCCTTTTGTGACCTATGAGATACATGAGCTCACCAACATTTTCAGCTTCTCAGATTTTTGGGAAGCTACTATCCCAGGTGTGGTGCTGTAGGATAAGCACTGGACCTCAGGTTGGTTTCAGTCATAAGGTCGGTGGGTCAAACTCACTAGCTGCTCTTCAGAAACCCTATAAGGGTCTCTATGAGTTGAAACCCACACGAGGGCACTTTACAACAAAACTATGCCGATTGTAGTACATGCTGCTTCCTGGTGGAGAACTGTAAACCTACAGGAATCTGAAGAAATGGGCCTCACCCTAACAATCATACCACCAAAGTCCCTTTGAGACATATGGATCCCACCCACATAACTGTATCAAAAATTTCCCTTGATTTCTGCATGTCTTCCATTACTGAAAACATGTTGTTGTTGTTGTTGTTAGGTGCCGTAGAGTCGGTACCAACTCATAGCCACCCTATGCGCAACAGAAAATACAGTATCAACAAAAAAATTCAAAGCAGAAAATATTTTGATCATAAAAGAATTTAAAGTTAATTTCATCCTTCTGGCACTAGGGGGCAGTGTTGTCTAGTTTCTAAAGTGATTGAACTCTGTCTTGGGTCTATTTATAATGACAAGTCAACCAGAACCAATGTTCCTGCACAACCTGTCCCTGCACAATTTTTGTTCTTTTATTATGACTTGAGTGAAGGTCTGCCCCACATTCAACAAATCATACACTTCGTGCCATTAAAATGATTCCAATCACTTCCATGTACCATCCATTAACAGTATTTTCCTTTATACCTTTTAACTTTTGCATTCCTCCCTGTGTTCCCACTACCTTTATCTGTGCCAGTCTGCCTCTTGTTGTATATTGCCTTCTCCATCACCCAAGTTCTACCCTCCATCCCACCAGCCACTCCTCAGAAACCCTATACAGAGTCGCTATGAGTCGGAACCGACTCGACAGCACTTAACACCAACCCTCTGTCTAGTGACTAATTCTACCTTCCTTCTCATCCCTAGTAACCATCATAGAATGTTTCTTTAAATTTTTTCAACAGTGATCTCATATATTTGTGCTGTTGTGATTGACTCATTTCACTCAGCGTAATGTCCTCCAAGTTCATCCATGTTATGATGTGCTTCACAGATTCATCATTCTTCAGTGCTACATAGTATTCCATTGTGTATATGTACCAAAGCTTGTTTAACCCTTGTCCTGTTAGGCAGTCAGGCTGTCTCCTTCTTTTTGCAAGTGTGAACAGTGCTGGAGTAACATGGATTTGTATAAATCTATTTGTGTCACTACTCTCGTTTCTTGAGGAGCTACACCAAGTAGAGGAATTGCTGGGTCAGACAGTATTTCGATTTTCAACTTCTTGAGAAAACGCCATACTGTTTTCTACAGTGGTTGCACCACTTTACAGTCCTGCCAGCAGTGCAGGAGGGTCCCAGTTCCTCTACACCCTCACCAGTGTTTGTTGTTTTCAACTGACCATAGGTGGATGGATATACTCTTGGATTCTCAGTTCTGTTCCATTGATCTGTGTTCCTGCAAAGCACTCAGAATCTCCTTGTTGCTTAAGATAAGCATCATTTTCTGAGGCTAAGGAAGATAAGGGGATGACTGACCTAGGAGGCAGGAGCCTTGGATTCTGGTACTTTCTAGTCGCTAATTTATTCTGTGACCTTGGGTTAGTGACCCTTCAGAGAGTGCTGGGTTGGATAGCCTATGGGATTTTGCTTTCTCTGCCCATTATTCCTTGTATCCAGCTGCATATGTGCCTGAATTTTTCTGTTTGGAACACACATACTACATAATTGTGTTGTGAGACCTTACCCTTATCTGAAAATCTACCAGTGGAAATCTATATTTTTTCATTATTTCCTTTGTTAAAATTCAGCTCTTCTGTACAAGACCTCTTTAAAGTGTTCAAGATCAAAGATATCAGTTTGATGACTAAGGTGCACCTGACCCAAGCCATGGTATTTTCCATTGCCTCATGCAAGTAAAAGTTGGACAGTGAATATGGAAGATCTTAGAAGAATCAATGCATTAGAATTATGGAGTTGGAAAATAATATAAGTACCATGAACTGCCAGAACAAACAATCTGTATTGGAAGAAATATGGCCAAAATGGTTCTTAGAAGTCAGGATAGTGAGACTTTATCTCTTATACTTTGGACATGTTATTAGGAGGGACCAGTCCCTGAAGAAGGACATCCTGCAGGATGGTCAGTGAAAAGGAAGAAGACCCCAAGGAGATGTATTGACATAGTGGCAACAGCAGTGGGTTCAAACATAACAATAATTGTTAGGATGGCACAGAACAAGGCAGTGTTTCATTCTGTTGTACAAAGGGTCACTATGAGTCAGAACTGACTTGATGGCACCTGATAACAATAACAACAAAGGCTCTTCAAAGGACTGAAATATAGTACAATAACCAAATTTATTCATCAGATATTTAAAAATATTTTTTTGGATTTTGCAAAAAATTTGAATCCCCTTTGAGAAATATGCATAGCTAGTGAGGTCCCTTTCTATCCGAAATTTCTAGACGAAATGGCTGTCTACCAGGCTAGTCTAATCCTTCTTGTTCTTGTTAGCTGCCTTGAAGTTGACCTTCAGCTCATGGTGACCCCATGCATAATAGAACCAAATGTTGCCTAAGCCTGTGCCATCACATGATCTGTTGCAGATTGGACTGCTGTGATCCATATGGGTGGGTGGGTGGGTGTGGGTGTGTGGGTGTTATTTGGGTGAAAACTCTTTCAAATTGGGAAAATACATTTTTATAGTGTTTTTTAACAAGCTGTTTATCAGTAGTCTAGAAAATGGGGGAGGGAGGAATAAGTAAAAAACAACAACATCAAAAACGCCTTTTACTACTTATTGTTTACTTCACAGTAGTCCGTTCTCATTTTTATATATTTTTGTTATCCTAATGGTACTTCTCCATGCTTTTTCAATAGGTTTTTGCTCATTAAAAAGAAATTGTTTATCACTGTGGCTTTGAGAGTTTGTTTTTAGGGTTTCAAAATTGCCGTGTTGTGTGTTTAATAAATCATTGATAGTGTCACACTGTGGCAGTTAAAAATAGTGTTTGCTAATTCACGAAAGAGAATAATCTTGTTTGAACAATGCCCCAAGTTACTTTAAAACATTTAAAGCAGTTTTTCTTGGTAACTAACAAGTGTAAACATGACTAAACTGATCCAAGTATGTTTTCTGTCCCTTTTGTGATTTTTCAGGTATATTTAACTGTTAACAGTAGCACTTCTGCAAATGAATGGCAACTACATATGTATCTTTACAGTTTCCTAGACTGTTAAATCTTACCAGTGTTAATATTTAGATTTACCATATTGATTATTGGTTCCTTTTTTTTTTTTTCCTTGGTAAATCCTATGATTATTCTGAATTTCAGAAAGTTTTGATCAATGCAAATAGAAAATCCTTCCAGGGTTAATTAGCATTTTGCGTTTGTTTGATCAGTGATTGCCTTCATGTTGTGGAGCCCATGCCTGTGCGAGGGCCTGACGTAGAAGCATACTGTCTACGCTGTGAATGCAAATATGAGGAAAGAAGCTCTGTTACTATAAAGGTAAGAAAATATATCCATCTTTTCTGCTTGTGGAACAGCTCCTGGTGGTCTTGAAGCAAACCAAGAAATCAGGGGCATCTTAATTCTATCTTAATTGCCTAAACTATTGCCCTTCCCTGCTCCAAAAGGGGCAGTGTGCCTGCTCTCTGCCCACCCCACTCAGATGCTTTGTGGATTGGTTAGGATACAAGTATAGTAGATAGGTATGTGAAATGGCACAGAAATGCCCTGTATGTCATTCGCCTATCCCAGAAAGATACCTTAGCTTCTCTGTGGGCCATGTATGTCAAAGGCTAGTGAGAGATTAGGATGAGTAAACCCTCGTTCCCTTGCACTCCCAAGCCTTCCAAAGATGTCTATATCTAAGTATACAAATACTGACTCTTCTGTTTTAGAACCAACACTTTTGGATTTCAGAATTTCCTACAGAAAGTGGGATAACTATCATCACCATTTGGGTCTATCATGGCTGATGGTTCTTTCCACAAATTGTTTTTATAGGCCACTGCTCATTCCTTTCCCTAAAAAAGGTCGCACGGGGAATCTTGGGGGGTAAGTGACAACAGTCACAAAGATTTCTTGTGGCTGATCCTGAGAGAAAGCTCTTGCTCCAGCTGTGTTATGCACTGCAGAGAAGTCTTCACTTTAAAAAAAACCCCAAACCACCATTAAAAAACCCCGCTTCTTTTGATATGCAATGTACACACCCTAAATTTCACTCGTTGTCACAATTCTAGGAATTTTCTAGAACCATTACCACAATCTAGTCTTAGAACATTCCCATCACCCCGAAAAGATCTGTCATGCCCCTATACAATGAATCCCCATTCCCACTCCTCAGACAATCACTGTCCTGTTTTCTGTCTCTACAGATCTGGACAGTTCATATAAATGGAATCATACAGTATGTTGTCTTTTGTGATTGACTTCTTTCATTAGCATCCTGTTTTAGAGGTTTATCCATGTTACAGCATGTATGAGTACTTCATTCTTTTTTTTTTACCTTTTTTAAAACTTTTATTGTGAACTATTTGGTAGTTTACATGGGAGAACATTAGCTTTGCATTCATCCTATCATATATCGTTACATTGCTATGGTTACAATCCCCTCTATGCATCATCAACCAACCAAAAGGTATACCCTGCAAGCCTGCACCCTGGTCATCAATACATAGCCCCTCTCCCTCTCTGGGTCTAAAGTCCCCAGCTGCTCCATTTCTCCACGTCATTGTCTCTGCTTCCATCTCTGGCATCACCGTTTCTCTGGGTAGGGTCCCGCACTCCATTCTTCTCCCTTGATGGTCCCAGGGACCACCGTTCCTGGACTGCAAAGTCAATCACTCCCTTCCTTTTGCTACAGAACATCTAGCTTTACATTTCCAACCCTCACATTCAGTCCTGATAGTAATTATTCATAATTGTACCACATGAATGCTATCCACATCTTTTACCAGTCCCACCGAGACAGATTGGATACTACTCAGTGGAAATTCTACCTTCCTCAGTGCCCTCTGGATCTAGGCTCGTTCTTGAAAGCTTGTAAGCCAGTCACTTCTTGCCTTTGTAGTCCCTCATTTTGGGTAGCTAATGTCCAAGTTGCCCATTCCTGTCTACCCTGTGTTTCGAGGGGGTGGAAATGATCCTTGCTATAAAGATTTGTTCCCTTTTTTGAGCTACTACATCCATAGGTGTAGGTCAAGTACATCAAATTGTATCAGATTACTCTTTTTTTCCTCTTCTTTCTTCTAGTTGAACTCTGATTATCCAGTCATTGAAGCCAGGTCAAGTGGGTATTATCTGCAGGTGTGGTTGTTCTTATGCATATACCCTCTCTTCTTAATCAGCTGGACACTTCACTCTCCATGCTAGTCCTCTGTGGCTATCTCACTGATTCTGGGCCCAGGAGTCCCCAGGTCTTGCCATACTGCTGGCCAGCCAGGTCTCCACCTGGGTTCACAGAAGTCTGTTGAACGTTGTAGGACTTAGCTCACAGTTTCATTGCTGTTTTTCCCTCACTTCCCCTTATTGGTGACCAATGTGGTCACCAGTCAGAGCACATGTCTGCTCGTGTATTCCCATTGAGTCTTAGTTTTGGAAGGGGGTTTTCCCTGAGCGGATCCGACAGCTTGCCTTGGTGTCTCCTGGGCGAGCCACTTGCTTGTTTTTGTAGTCAGTTGGACAGCCATTATTGTTTTGTATCTTCCCTGTAGGTCTTTCTTTCAAGAAGTAGCTTCTGTTCTTCTAGCCATTCCAGGCTGGTCTGCTTGTCCTTTCAAGTGGAGATTTCACGCCTCAGAAGATTCTAGATGGGGTTCGGGATTCCACCTATGGTCTTATGCAATGCAGAGGCTCCACAGGAAGCCTTCTTCAATAGGCAAGTTGTAGCCCTATTTTAGGTATTCCAATCAGATATAGCTGGAAGATGGACTTACAAGCTTTCTATGGTGATATTTCTGACTCTTTCTTTCTCTCCCCCTCAAGTGTCTATTTTATAATGGTATGCCAGGAAAACCAAGATTCAAAAGACAGCCAAGCATCTTAACATTATTTTCCCTGTTTTGCCCATTCCAACCATACCTCAATCCCTGTATCCCAGAATCCTGTTGTTCCAAGGTTGTGCATACATCATTATTTACTTCTGTCCCCCTTAGTCCATGCAAACCTGCCTAATTGTTCTCCCATCCACCTTGTTCTTCCATTCCCCTCTCCCTTCTTGTGTATTGCCCTCCTCCCTAGCACCCAAATTATCCTGTGTCTGTTGCCTACCCTGTGCTGAGTACTTCATTCTTTTCATTGATAAATACTATTCCATTATATGAATGTGCCACATTTTGTTTATTCATTCAACAGTTAATGGGCATTTGGATCATTTTCAGTTTTTTACTATTATGAATAATACCATGACATGTCTCTTTGTGGACAGTTAGAGTGTTAAGTTTATATTTCACTTTTTAAGAGACTGTAAGGTTGTCCCAAGTGGTTGTACTATCTCATATTCTCTCCAGTCATGAAAAACAGTTCCAGTTGTCCATGCACATCCTCCCCAACACTTGAAATTGTCTATTTACTGCAGCATTGTAGTGACTGTGGCATGCTATACCTTTTGACAGCACACAAATTAAGATCACAAGAAAATCACTAGTCTAAAAAAGTATTTTTGTGTATTGAAGTGCTAGTGTGGCTCTGTAGGATAAGCATTGGACTGCTAACTGCAAGGCTAACAGTTCAAACCCACTAGTCACTCCTTCGAAACCCTACACAAGGCTTATATAAGTCTGAACTGACTCAAAGGCACTTAACAACAGCAAATTAAGCTAAAAGACTTTTCTGTTGAAGCTCACCCAGATTACATTTTCTGTTGTTGTTGTGTTTACAAATTGGGCTGCAAACTTCAAGGTTAGCAGTTCTAAACTACCAGCTGTTCCACGGGAGAAAGATGAGGCTTTCTGCTCCCATAAAGATTTACAGCCTCGGAAACCCTGTGCGGGGTTGCTATGAGTAAGAACCCACTCCATGGCACACCACCACCACCACTATTGTTGTTAATTCGAGTCAATTCGAACTCATAGCGACCCTGTATAGGGTTTATTAGGAGCGGCTGGTGAGCTTGACCCACCGACCTCGTGGTTCAAACTGACCTTGCAGTCCAGTGCATTAACCTGCAGTGCCACACCAGGACTCAATATTTTCTATTAAGATTCCTCTAAGTTGTTTTGACAGCAGTGCTGCTGAACCTAGGGCACACTGTCCAGCTAAAAAGGAAACTGCTGTGTTCGTAGAGGTGACAAGTGATTAGCAGTAGATGAAGATGGGAGTTTTGAAGACTTGTAAAAAGGTCCTGAAGACACAGTGGTTTTATTGTCCCTATTCCGAAAATAATACTTTGATGACGAGTTGGGTTTGTTTCTTGTGTTGGCATCCAGTTTGTGTGAAAATCCCGTAGGCTTCACACAATATAGATCAGTCTAACTATAATGTTAACCGTTATCATACAGAATTCTGATTTCTTGGTTGGAGCAGAGATGTAACTTATTTTCATTTTCCTTCAGGTCACCATTATAATCTATCTCTCCATTCTGGGCCTGCTACTTCTGTACATGGTATATCTTACTCTGGTTGAGCCCATACTAAAGAGACGCCTCTTTGGACACTCACAGTTGATACAGAGTGACGATGATGTTGGGGTAAGTCCACAGTCTTCTGCCCAGATTGCTCATGACTAGTTTCCTGTGATGTAAAGTACAAGGGGGAAACAGTCACGTAGGATGTTCACACGGTGGAGCAGAGCCTCAATTAGAGAAGCTTTAAGGAGTACTGGTTTGAGTATGGATCTCTTTCTGAGGAAATCCCTCTGTTCCCAGTACCATAGATACGGTGATTTAAGCTGATGATACTTGGTGGTACTAGGCTTTGTCCTGCAGTACCAAGGGCATACCTGTCATTGCATTTTTCAGTTTACATTGGGAAAAGCACCTGAGACTGGCATTTCCCCCTCAAGTTTCTGCCTAAAGCCCCTTTCCTGTCAGCATCACCCAGTCAGTGTTTTAGAAGGAAAAGAGTCTTGACTGAAGGCAACACAACAGCCATGCCATTCTTTTCTTCATGAAGTGCAGTGTGCTAACCTGCTAGTGTTTTATATTTCTTTCTTTTCTTGCTTAAAAGCAATCCATGATCGTTAACCCTAGAGAAAATGAAACCACTACAGTAGATTCTCTTCCTACCTTTAAAACACATTTATATTTGTACATATAGTTGGTGTAATCAGCATATACATTGTTTTGTGGTCTCCTGATTCCTCTAACATTCTTTCATACAAAAATGACCCACAAATTTGTTAAATAGTGTAGAGAATTACATTGTTCTTATTTGGCTTTGAAATTTTTTTTATCATTCACCTGTTTAGGCTTATTCCTAAATTTTGTACTATTTCATTATTATGTATATATATATATTTTTTTGTTTTCTTTTACAAAGTACTTTTTCTCTTGGATGATTTTGTTGGACTATGTTCCTTAAAGTATTCTTAAGGAATTCAGAGTGTTCAAGTGTCAGTCCCAAAGGCCAAAGCCACAGTGAACCCCTGCCAACTGTAACCAAAAGTCCTTTACTCTAGAATGGGTTATGGGTTTATTGGTAAAAGATGTGAAAGGGGACCCTCACTGGGTGGCTTTAGTTGCAACTGCAAATAGAGACTGTTTTACGATCAACACATTGTTGTCTCATGAATATCAGTTATGAATGTTTTATCATGTTTTGTTTTGTTTTTAATCCCTGAGAACTTTCATACAAACATCTGTTTGTCTCTTTTCCTCTTGCTTCGTTTACTAACTTATCCAGTACTTAAAAGGTAACTTTTCTGTATCAGGTGCTGTGCTGGGAACTAGATATAAAGACACACAAAATAAATGGCTAACAATAGTGTGTTTCCACCCTTTATTTTTATTATATAAGGAAGGCATGCTTATTTTAGCAAATGAGGAAATATAAACCCTCAAAAAAGACATGAATGTGTCACCTTAAACCCACCACCAAGAAAAACTATTTTGAGCTTTATCTTTCCAGTCTTATTATCTATAATATATATCGGCACTGTACTTAAACTGTCTAATGACCTGTGGTGTATAATGACCAGGATAGCACAATGGGAGGCAAGATTATTTAATTCTGAATAGGGCACAAGTCAGGGAGGTTTCCTAAAGTAGATGACTTCTGAGCAAGTATTTGCTAAATGGCTTAGAAGCTAGGAATGGATGGTGCATTCTAAACTTAGGAAACAGTATGTGTGCAGATCCAGGGGCTTGGGTTCAGGGAACCCCAAACTTTTCAGTCTGTTAGAATGTAAAGGGAGAGTGAAGAGAGGTTGAGACTGAAGAGGCGATTGCAGTAATGGACTTTGGGAATCTGAGCTGAACAGAGAGGGAAACAAAGCCAGGAGGGAACTGGTAGGCTGGGGGAAGACTGATGTGGTCAAAACCAGGCATAGTGAAGGTAGTAAAAGGACAGGAGGGTGTACACCAGCAGCATTAGAGTCTCAAATACGGTTCCATGTTCATTTCATTCACATGTCACAGGGTTTGCCAAATTCTACACTAACGACATTTTGGGCTGGAAAATTCTTTATTGTGAGAGGATGCCCTGGACATTCTAGGATGCTTAGCCATCATATGCCACTAACACCCCACCCCCTAAAATGTCCACAGACTTTGCCAAAGGACTAAAAGTAGTGTGTCAGACATCCCCTAGGAAAAAAATTCACCCTCAACTGAGTACTGTCATATGAACATGTGTATCAAAGGCCACCTAAATTATTTTCATTATAGGCCCTAAAGTAGAAACTCTGAAACTCTGACTTAAGCTGTATCCTTTACAGCATGTACCTGGGTCCTACTTTCAGGAACAGACAACATTCAGGTAACACACAGAGAACATAAAATAAATGTATATACAAGTGTAGGTGAGCGCATATAGGGCAAGCGCTTGGTTTGTACCTATAGTGAGTGATTCTGCATGTTCCTGGACCATTTGACACCAGTCTGAGAGGCCCGGCTGGCTCCTGCAGGGCTGTTGAACCAGTCCTGGACAGAGAAAGGTTTTCTGTAAAATTATGGTAACACTCTATAACAAAAAGAAGTTAAATTTAAATTTCTACAATTGTTTCTTATCCAAGATGTAAATTCTTTATTATTTATGTACTTTTTAAGTACCTTTGTTAAATTGTCAAATTCCAGTTTTCATTTTTGTTCAATATAGAGAGAGTTAGTACAGATGTTTATGCTCACTGTAAGTAGTGACAGTATTTACTGTATCATATATCTATGACACATCATCACTGTTATCAAAGCATTACATTAGAACGCTTTGTATTATTGTAATTTTATCAGGTGTAAAAAGAACAAACATATTAAAAAGGGTAAATCTCTATTTTGCATTCTCCTAGTTTCCAAACCATGAGCAACTGGCTCAATCTTGTTCTGATAGGTGGAGAACAGACCAAAAGGATTAGCTGATTTGTTTAGTCCTTTCAAATTATTCTTTAAGAAGCTTTTTCTCCCCCTACCTTGAAGAGTCAATAACAGGACTATGAAATTGAAAGGTGCTCTGCTGATAAAATGCATCCTTTTTCCCAGTCTTGTTTATGTCGAAACAAGCCAATGGTGGTAATATTTTATATACAAGTGCACTGACGCACCATATCCCTGTGGTATCACTTTAATCTACCGGAACAAAATCGATGTGTTAAGAAGATGTGACACCAAATCACAGTTAGGCAAGCTGAGTTTTAATGTTTGCTTTCATTTGTTAAATGATCTTGGGTCAGTTTGTTTCCTTATGGGAAATCAAGTTATCCAACTTTTAGCCTTCCTCTTTTCTATACCTTCTTTCTTAGGTCTTTGAAACATTTTGTACATATGGGGTTATTTTTATTAGTAAGGTTAAAAACAAAAATTAAATGAAGTTAGCACAAGCTTTTAAATTGACTTACATAAAAACGTTCAGAAAATTTTGGTAAAGAAAGCAGGGGAAAATTCTTTATAGAAAACTCTGATGTCTTTGAAATGTAGATATCGTATAAAAACAAGACTAGGTATTATGACATCATATAGTTATAGCTACAGCTATGGGGCTATGTATAGCTTTCCATAGACATACTGGCTTCTATTCTGGTAATATAGTAGAGCTTTTTTTGTAGAACAAAACAGTTGTCTGTCTCCTAGAGGCAAAGTTTGGTTTAAGGGGTAGAACTTGTGACTTGGATCCTACGTTGGAACATTTAGAAACTTTGCTATACAGGTTCAGGAAAAGAGACCAAAAACAGCAGCAAACAAAAGCAATAAATTATATTGAATGTCTTTTGTCATTTAGGCAGCTGTGTTTATATCTCATTCATAGATAGATTAGCTTGGTGGTTTCCTGTGTAGTGACTCCAAACATCCAGTTGCATTGGTTTGCTTTGACGAGGACCGGTTGTTTCTTTATTCAGATATCAAGGTAACCCTTGAATAGCATCTTTCTTAAGGCATCCACTAGCATGAAAGCATTGGTTGTTTAGCAATGATAGATTCATCTGTTGAACAGAGATGCTGAAGTCATACTTCCTTACTGCCCTGGGTATTGTTGTTGTTATGTGCTGTGGAGTTGGTTCCGACTCATAGCGACCCTGTACAGGGTTTCTGAGGCTATAAATCTTTAGGGGAGCAGAAAGCCTCATCTTTCTCCTGCGTAACAGCTGGTAGTTTCGAACTGCTGACCTTGTGGTTCACAGCCCAATTTGTAACCACTACGCTACCAGAGCTCCTTTACTGCCCTGGGTAATAGAGGTTAATTGTAGCATTGAGCTGTGTCTTTTCTTTACAGATTGGGGACTGGGGGCAATGAAAAAGTTTTGGGGAACCAGGCTATTTAGTGTGTGTTGGGGTACAAGGAGAGATTAAAACTAACTAAGATAAGGACTCCATCAGTTCATTTTCCAGGATGGATGTGGCCCCAGCTGGCAGAGAAACTATCCTAATAGGAAATTAAAGGGATGGTTTGTCCTCTGCCACATATTAGCTGTCTACAATGAAACCTGTGAAAGCTGGAACCTAGATAAGGTAGAAACCTGTCAGACAAGGAAAACTCATTTATTTCCCACTAAAACGAGCGATAAATAAGTGCAAAGATTGCATCCTGTCAACGATGGAAAAACAAAGAAGTCCTATCAAGTTCCAGCTCTCACAGATTTCACCATAGCATTGATTAAAACAAGGAAAAGCCCTACTTTCCATATCTCTAAACTGGAGACGTTAACTTGAATGTAGATTTTTCTTTCTTCAACTCTTCAGGAAAGCTGTCGCTGTGACATGAATGACCCACTAGCTTTATCTTGATCCCTGCTCCTTAAGGAAAATCTTTTTGGAAATGGTGATAATTGATAGCATCTCACAAATACCCTCTGATCATTTATGCTTCCTGGAGCACCTATTTCCAAAGATGAGTTCATCCTACTTCAGTTCATCCTGCTTCTGGTAGCTAAGTGTCTAGGAATGCTTGACTAGGGTTGTTTGAAAAGTTCAGTTGCTCCTACCTCTGTGGCAGGTGTGTGTGTGTGCTACACTGATCATGTCATGCCTGACGTTCTCCATTCCTGGACTTTCAGGATCACCAGCCTTTTGCAAATGCCCACGATGTGCTGGCGCGCTCCCGCAGTCGAGCCAATGTGCTGAACAAGGTAGAATATGCCCAACAACGCTGGAAGCTTCAAGTTCAAGAGCAGCGAAAATCCGTCTTTGACCGTCATGTTGTCCTCAGCTAACTGGAATTCAGATTCAAGGTGATCAGGGAAAAAAACAAGACAAAGGAAAAATTAACTTAGTTTTGCTGGGTTTTAACCTCCTTGTTAACTTCACCAAATTCTAACTGGAAGATTCAAAACTGGAAGCAAAAATGTGCTGGGTAATTTTTTTTTTTCCTTAAGGTATTAATAGACATTTTGAAAAGCACACATCTAAATGTCAGCCAATAAACTTTTTCCTATTTGTGACTTTTACTAATAGAAATAAATCTACCTTGTAACTTATTTTGAAGTCCTCTACCTGGAGCAAGTACTCTCTTTTCATCGTATCTTGGCTTTCAAGATAATATTCAGGTTTTATTGTTTGTTTGTTTGTTTTGCAGGGGTGGGTGGGAGATGCTTGGGAAGTTCTTAGCTTTTCTCAAGTCACTTTATTAAACAAATTTTTGTAAATAGACTTTAACTCCAAAAAAGTTGCATTTTTATTTTGCAGCATAGCCAGGCTTGTGGAAGTTCTGACTTAGCCATTTGAATTTTGCACTGACTATATTGGCAAGGCAGTTGGTTGGCCTGTGGCTGCACTTTATCGTAAACTAGATCTCAAATGCCTGTTGACTTTTCACAAAATGTGGAGTCTCTTAATGTATTGTGAAACCTGATGTATCCAAGAACGAACTAGACATTTGTTAGTTACTCTAATGACTAAACTTCTAATCTTAGTGTGTGTATGGTCATTCTCATCTTCTAGTATCTTTAAGGACACATCCTAAGGACGTGGACACTTGCAATAAAGATATTTTCTTTTAAACCCAAGTCTCCATGTATTGATGACATATCTGTATTTGTCAGCATTCCATTCATGCTGGGAGGCAGTTGTGTGCAGTTTGGAACTAGGTCTGCGGGTTTGGGTACCTCCATCAGAGAGGTGGATCCATTTTTGCATAACTGGCTTTTCCTTCCTATGTCCTCTTTGGAATGTAACAATAAAAAGAATTTTTGAAACACCTACCATTTTGAACATGTCTCCTCGTTTTTTCTTCTCCCTCTTTGACTGTGAAACTACTTTTTATACCATTCTAAACATAAAATGTTGTTACTAATATGCTCTGGTAGCGTAGTGGTTACGAATCGGGCTGCGAACCTTAAGGTCAGCGGTTCGAAACTACCAGCTGCTCCGTGGGAGAAAGATGAGGCTTTCTGCTCCCGTAAAGATATATACCCTCGGAAACCTTGTACAGGGTCGCTATGGGTCGGAACCGACTCGACAGCACTTAACAACAACAACAACAATACTCTGCCAGTGCTTCAACGAATCGTGGAAAAATATACCAAGATTATTTTGATATATTGAGAGATTGAAAATGCACAAAGAGTACTTGTTTTACTAAAAAGTTTGGTGAATTTATTAGAAGTATGTTAAATTTATAACAAGGTTTTAGTGACTGGAAATAGATTTTTTCTTTCTTTTTAAGGCAGTTTGGTGGCACAGTGGTAAAGAGCAGGATTTTAAATCCACCAGCTGCAATTCAAGAAAAAGACGTGGCAGTCTGCTTCCATACAGATTTACAGTCTTGGTTCTGTAGGGTCACTATGAGTAGAAAAGAACAGCAATAAGTTTTTGTCTTTTTTTTTAAAAAAAAACTTTTTTGTGTGTGAATTAAGGAAGGTTCCCAGAGCAGATCATTGATTTTACATCAACAAATCATATACTTCATTTCATCTCGAAGATCGTCACCCCCTCGTGTAGCAGCAGTTATCTTACTTCCTCCCTGTGATACTTATTTCCGTTCTTTCCCAGCCCTTTTGAATTTTGTTCTTTGGTAACTGCTGCCCTTTTGATGTTGACTAGTTGGTATGCATACCCCACTAGTGTTGTTGTTCCCCCTATATACCTCTACTGCTGACTGGAAACTGGGCCATGAGGGTGAGTTCAGCCCAGACCTGAAGAGTGACCAAAGGTCATCGTCTCACGTTCCTCCAGTCTCTTTCTGACCAGTAAGCCTGGTGTGTTTTATAAATTTTAGTTTAGTGAGTTCCACATTTTTTTCCACTCTATCCAGGATCTTCCAATGTGGTCTCTTTCAAATTCCTTTCAGTTGGTAGTGGGAGACAGGCACCATCTAGTTCTGATCTCAGGGTCATGGACACTGATGTTCACGTGGTCCATTAGTCCACTGGACGAACTGATACCAAGCATCTACAATTTTCATCACTCTTCTTTTCTCTAGACAGGGAGAGACCAGTAGTTGCACCTTAGATGCCACTCATGTGCTTTTAAGATCCCAGATGCTGCTCACCAAAGTAGGATGTAGAACATTGTCAATTTTGCACCCTGTAGTAGTAGCTGTGTATGATAAGCACTGGACTGCAAACCACAAGGTCAGTGGTTCGAGATCAATAGCTGATCCATAGGGGAAAGATGAGATTTCCTGCTTCCCACAAAATTTACAGCCTCAGAAACACTAGACAGTTGACATGAGTCTGAACTGACTCCAATATGTTCTACCACGTTCATGGATATGTTTATAGCCTCCTCTGTGAAACCTTTATATATTTGTGGGTGTACTCACACTCTCCCCCACCACACCTGCTCAGCTTGTGTATCTGTCCATGTATCTACCCATAGATCCCTGTTATTGCAGGATTGTGTATTTAACAGTATTTACCTCTCTTTAACTCTTGCACTCTTCCCTGTGTCTTCTGCTACTTTCATCATTCTGCCAAGCTACCTCTTGTATATTGCCTTCCCTATCCCTCAAGTTAACATGAGTCCTGGTTTGGTGTGTGAGATAAACACTGGGCCACAAGGTCAGTTTGAACTGCAAAGTCAGCAGTTCAAACTCACCAGTCACTCTTTGGAAACTATACAAGGTTGCTATGAGTCAAAACTGACTGTATGACACTTCACAACAACAGCCCTCTAGCCAGTGAATTACTACTTTCCCATCCATGGTAACCATCAAAGAATGTTTCCTATAGCATGAAAACCTTTCCTTGCCCTTTTTACAACAGTGATCTCATACAATTTTTGTCCTGTTGTGATTGACTCATTTCACTCAGTATAATGTCCTCCAGGTTCATCCATGTTGGACAATGTCTAACAGATTCATTGTTAATCTTCAACATTGCACAGTATCGTATTTGTGTGTGTGTACCAAAGTTGATCCATTCTTCTGTTGATGGACCCTTAGACCATCTCTATCTTTTTGCTATTGTGATTGATGCTGCAATGAATATACGGTACATATTCATGTCATGGCTCTTGTTTCTTGAGCATATATACCAACCAGAGTGATTGCTGGGTCATAGTTCTATTTCCAACTTTTTGAGCAAGCACCGTACCATTTTTCACAGTGATTGCACCATTTTATTTTCCCATCCACAGTGTGGTAGATCCCTGCCTCTCCACACTCTTGCCAGCATTTGTTGTTTTCTGTTTCTTCAAACTTTGCTATTAATGATGGGGTAAGATGATATCTCCTTGTTTTGTATCTCTCTGATAGGTAATGATCGCGAGCATATGTTTATTGGCCACCTAAATGTCTTTGATGAAGTGTCTGCTCATGTCCTCTGCTTATTTTTTAATTGGCTAATTAAATTGGCTTTTAATTTAATTTAATTGGCTTTTTCTTGTTGAAGTGTTGAAGTTTTCTGTAAATTTTAGAGATTAGTCCCTTGTCTCATATGTCTTGCCAGACATTTTTTTCCCAGTCTGTGGGTTCTCATTTTACTCTTTTGGTGAAATCTTTTGATGTACAGAAATGTCTAATTTCTAGGAGGTCCCAGTCATCTATTTTGTTTTACGCTGTTTGTGCATTTTATGTTTGATAGTATATTTATGCCATGTATCAGAGTCCCTATGTTTGTGCCTATTTTTTCATTAATGATCTTTATAATTCTTAGTTTTACATTTAGGTCTTTAATTCATGTTGAGTTCGTTTTTGTACATGGAATGAGATGAGGGTTTTGTTTGATTCTTCTGTAAATGGATTCCCAATTTTGCCAGCACCAGTTATTGTCCCAGTTAATGTGTTTTGGCCTTTTGTCAAAGATCAGCTGACCAGAGGCATATTGATTCACTTCAGAATTCTCACTTCTGTCCATTGATCTATGTGTCTTCTTTTGTGCTGGTACCAGGCTGTGTTGACCTACTGTGACTGTGCAGTAGGTTTGAGATCAGGAAGGGAGAGACTCCTACTTTGTTCTTTTTTTGTGTGTCTCTTTCTTTTCTATATCAAGTTAGTGATTAGTTTTCCATCTCTTTAAAGAACGATGTTGGGAATCTGGATTAGGATTGTATTATACATAGAGAGAGATTGTTTTGATTAGTGTTGGGATGAGCATGGTATATTCTTCCATTTTTGTAAGTCTCTTAGTTTTTTGTAGGATTGTTTTGTAGTTTTCTCTGTAGGTTCATCTTTTCTGGTTAGATTCATTTTTGGGATGGCTATTGTAGGTGGTAGTGTTTTCCTGATTTCATTTCATAGCTTTCTTTAGTAGTAAAAAGGAATCAAACTGATTTCTCTATGTTGATCTTGTACCCTGTTACTTTGCTGAATCTTTCAATGAGTTCCAGTAACTTTCTTGCTGAGTCTTTGGGATTTTCCTAAATCATGTTATCTGCAAATAGAGTTTTTACTTGTTCTTTGATAATCTGTATGCCTTTAATCCCTTCTCTTATAGGACTGCCTAAGACTTCCAGCACAATATTGAATAGGAAATGGCAGTAGGTTTTTTTAATGTCTTTTTTTGGCTAGTAAAAATAAAAAGAAATTTAAACTACAAATCTAACTTTAAATTATTGATTTTATAGTTAGTATTAAAAGATCATGTTAATTTAAAAGTTATGTTAATCTTTTTGGTTCTGTTCTTATATCTAACAGAATGTTGATCAGTATATATATCTCTATAATGAGACTATTGCTTAATGAAACTATTACTATTTCCATAAATAATTTTGATATAACCTAGATGCATAGGGGAGTCCTGTAGGATAAACACTGGACTGCTAACCACAAGATCACTGGTTCAAACCTACAAGCTTCTCCTCAGAAACCTTATGCAAGATTTCTCTGAGTTGAAACTGACTTGACAGCACTCAACAACAACAACAACAGATGCATGAGAGAACATTCATTTTACAAGAGAATCTATTACAAGGATCTAGTTGTATAAGCAAACTTTTCCATTTAGTACTGTTACATGTTTTCATGTCTACATAGTAGGTAGGAAAAAGCCAAACCAGAACTGTGTGGTTCTGTTTAACTATAAGCTACTTTGCATGTTGTCACCAATGATGACCTATAAATCAGGCAAGTCTGACTCAGCCCAAAATACAGCATCTTGACAGCAAAGCTCAGGTAAGAGATTTCTCCCAGGTGACCCACGGAGAAGAATAAGATGGTTTTTAAGAAAATCCCCAGGCAAGGTTGACAAGTGGTGAATGTTGTTAGCGACCTGATAACTAACTTATGATTTAAAATTTTTCAAATGCTGCCTATATATTGGAAGGTACAGATTTTGCTGTGGGCTAAATGAATGTGGAAAAGTGAGAACGTTGTAGTGTGGAGACCTTAGTTCTGGTCCGCACTCTGCTCCTAGTTTTGCAATGCCAGTCAAGTCACAACCTCTCTGTACACTGATTTGCTCATTTGGAAAATGAAGGATGGACTAAGAGGAATTCTAAGGTTTCTTCCAGCTCTAACATTCCATGATTTATTTATGTTTGTTTTTCAGTTTTTGCTAGATATGATTATTTTTAATATCTCTGAAAGTTGACATTTTTATGCTCAGTAGAGCATCTAGAATCTCAAGATTTTATCATTGCATCCTCATGATTTATTTCCGAGAAAAGCTCTGAGACAGAAACCTGAGATTTTCCCAAGAAGTGTGTTTGTTAGCTGTGCCCGTATGTGGAGCCCGGCACTAACAGTCTGTGTTGTTTTTTACTTGTATTCAAATTTTATAAACATATCCAGATTCCACTAGGACTCTTTTCCTGATTCTCTTCATCTCTGCTTTTTTTCCTTCTTTCTGTCATTTTGTGATTAATTTTCTTCTTTGAATAAAAGGTGACTCTATGTAAATGTTATGATGTTAATTAATGAATTTATTGGAAATGCTCAGCAGAAAAAAACCTTCTCCTTGATGTGTCTCCAGAGACACCATGTCCTTTTCCCAAGAATTACCCAATCTCTTGTTAAAACCTGAACCTTTTCACTACTCATGGTAAATATAGACTACTCAGATTTCATCTCAGCCAAAGTTTAAGATATTTAAATGATCTTTCAGGGTCAAACCACACCCCAAGGAATTCTTATATGTAATTAACTTTGATGACATCTGCTTTACTTTTTGGTAACTTGTTAATCAGCTCTGGTTTGGGACTCTGTGATTGTGAGAAATGTTGTAACACAGGTTTAGTACCCACTCTGCCATCGTTTGGCAGCTTTTGCCATATGTGTTCTTTATCACTTACTCTCTAGAATTCCTGGCTTGGGAATTTCCTAACTTTTTCCTCTTAGCAACTTTTTCTTTTTGACATAATCTTGGCTGGTTTTTTATTTTCCAGAAATTTTTGTGTATCTTAGTTATTTTAGGCCATTTGGTCAGTAATTTGGAATCCTTCATTTCCTATCCTTCAGTTTTAATATTTAATTGGGGCTATCCTGGTGTGGTGCTGTGAGTTAATATGCTAGACTGCAAGGTCGATGGTTCAAGCTCACCAGCCACTCCTTGGAAACATTATACAGGGTCGCTATGGGTTGGAACCTACTTGAGGGCACTTACCAGCACCACCAACATCACACTTAAAAGCTGTGGTAGTGTAGTGGGTTACACATTGGACTGCTAACCACAAGGTCAGCAGTTTGAACCCACCAGCCACTCTACAGGAAAAAGATGACGCTTTCTGCTCCTGCAAAGATTTGAAGCCTCTGAAACTCTATGCAGGGTTGTTAGGAGTCAGAATTGACTCCACGGCACTAAGAACAACTAGTTGAGTACCATCGAGTCAGTTCTGACTCAAGCAAACCCTGTATAGGGTTTCCAAGATGTGGTGGTTGGTTTGAGCCACCAACCTTGTGGATAGTAGCCCAATACTTAACCTACAGCAACACACCAGGCCTTTTCACAGAAATTGGAGCACACCCTTTTGTACTTGAATTTTAGTGCTTAGAGGCTGCTCCTCCCACTCTTCAGTTTTTGCCTGTACTCAAGCAGAGAGAGAAGTGTCACACTTACTGAATCTTACCCACAAACCTAACAACAGACATACCAGTTGCCTAAGTAGATTCTGACTCATGAAGACTCCACAGTGTATCAGAGTAGAATTTGCTTCATAGAGTTTTCAATGACTGATTATTTTGGAAGGAACTCTCTAGGCTTTTCTTTCAAGGAGCCTCTGGGTGGCCTTACAGTGCTCATTTTTTGATTAGCAACTGGTTTTATGGCTCATTTTCTTTGTATAGGCTAAGCATAAAGAACAACCATTCACCCCCCTAAAGGAGATGAAAAATCAACCCCCCAAGAACTTAACAGAAAGCTCTATTTCCTTCTTTTCTGGAGATCATTCTAATCATCAACTCATAATTAGATGTTCCTATTGCTTTTCTTTTCTGTATTCTTCATTTGTTAACAAATGCGCTTTTGGTAGATAAATGTTTTCATTCTCCAGCACTAGGGAAAAATACAAGCCAAGTTTTCTGTAAGGTGCAGTTTAGAAAGGGATATTGTACAGGCATGCATCCAGGAAGAAAGGAAAGGACAGAAACTAATGTTTGTGTTTGTAAACCAAATATCCATTGCTGTTGGGTTGATTCTGATTCATGGGACCCTATGGGACAGTGTAGAATTGCCCCATCATGTTTCTAAAGTTGTAATATTTAGGGAAACACATTGCCACATACAAGGTGGCTTCAGAAAGTTTATGGGGAAAAATTCCATTATCTTTGAATTCCATTTTTCCATATACTTTTTGAAGCCCTCTCATATTTCTCCCACAGAGTGGCTGATGGATTCCAGTTACCAGTCACTCAACTGGTTAGCAGTTAGTCCACTTAACCACTGGGCCACCAGGTTGCCTTCTTGTACTTGGTAGTTCGTAAAACTTTAATCCTCACAACCACCTACAGAGTAGTTAATATCTCAGTAGGACATAGGAGGAAGCTGAAACTCTGCGAGGTTAAGGAACTTGCCTAAGGACATAAAGCTAGAAAGGACAGAATCAAGATCAAAACTCCAGGGTGTTAGGACAGAAGGAAAAATGCTCTTTTCCTACAGCACTACCCTTGTTGTTGTTGTTGTTGTTAAGTGCCGTGGAGTCAGTTCTGACTCATAGACACCCTGTACAGGGTTTCCAAGGCTGGAAATCTTTACGGGAGCAGAAAGCCTCATCTTTCTCCCGCGGAGCAGCTGGTAGTTTCGAACTGCTGACCTTGCAGCTCGCAGCCCGATTCGTAACCACTACGCTACCTGGTTAAACACAATGGCCCTGTAAAGTCTGTGGTACTTACATTTTTACAAGACAAAAAGCAATAAAAGCAATGCTGCTTTAAAATATCAGATGGATGCAGATCTCTTCTGAAATACGGAATGTGCTGGTGTGGGCCCTCCAGGGCATAATGCTTTATTCTGGTGTTCCGTGTGGGGGGGAGATGTATCAAAAACTAAAGCAGATACACTTTATTTAATATACCTAAAGCCACCAGCCGCTCCTCGGAAACCCTATACAGGGCCACTATGAGTTGGAACCGACTTGAAGGCACTTAACTACAAAACAACGAAAGCTCTGTGTAAATAAAAATTTTCTAATTGAGAGTTGAGTGTCTCACTTAAAGTTATAGTTCATTTTTTAAAAAGTAACTTTACTTTTTGTTTTTAAAATATACGCAGCAGAACATACACCAAGTCAACGATTTCTACAGGTACAATTCAGTGACACTAATTACATTTCCTAAATTGTGCAGCCGTTGTCATCCTCTTCAGAACTGTTCCTTCCCCATTAGCATAGGGCTTGAGGGGCTTTAAAGAATACCCAGAAAAGTAGGATTAAGAGAGAACAGAATTTTTCCACACTTTTTGAAGCCCCCTCATGAAATCACTGCCCACTAAACTTCCTCTCTGACCTTTGGAGATGGTTTGGCTTAGCATAGTAATCAAGGCAGACAGTCTTTACCAATCAAACTTGTTTTGTTAGAAGAGGAAGTTAGGGGATGTTTTTGGTTTAAAATTTAGGGATTATTTGGGAACAGTAGTTTTGATGGTTTTCCCAGCCTCAGTGGTTCCAGAAAGTTAGTGAATTTTCTAAAGCATATAATTCTTCATTTTTAACCTTGGTTTTGTCCTGGTATTGATTATGCCTGCTGAGAGTACATGATCATTAACTAGTTTGTCATTTCTCCAACATGTATTTGAATATTGTGGTATTTCAGAGTTACTCAAACTTTAATTATCAGCATATATCTTCACGGTCTTCATCACATCTATGTTTCATCAGAAGGAAAATGCTCTTTTCCTTAATATTAAAAATTTTTTCTTAAAATCAATTCATGTTTTCTCATTAAGTATATTTATTTTTAAATGAAACTTTATATTACTACTGTAAATGTGAGACCAGTAAACTTAATAATAAAGAAACATTAACAGTAAAAATATTAAATTCTAGCCAAGAAATCACTACACTGAAACCAAAAACAACAAACCAAAAAACTCATTGCCATCAAAACATTTCCAACTCCTGGCAAGTCTAAAGGACAGAGTAGAACTGCTTCCTGAGCTTCCCAAGGCTAAAATCTTCAAAGTACGCTTGCCACATCATTCTCTCATGGAGTGCCCAGTGGGTTCAAACCACTAACCTTTCAGTTAGCAGTACCATGCTTAACCACTGTGCCTCCAGGGCTCCTCAGGTAGGTACTATTGCTGTAAGACTTGGATCTGAGGGCAGATTAAGAAGCACTCTAGAGCAGTATGGAAGGTACTATCAGAAGACTGGAGTTGTATCTTTCTAAACACATGGATTAAGACAATTGAAAGAGGAATAACTTTCTCACAAGGTGACTCAGTGTTTTTTAACAGTGTTTCCTGTGTATCATTGAAAATCTTCTCTTACCACCCACAGAATATTGTTAACCCAGCCAGTCTTGGGAATGAGCTCAAAAACAATTTATCAAAGCAGAATGTGTTTAAAAGCAAATGGTGTCTATTCCTTCCTGATCTGGCCAAATTAATAAACTTAGTTTTTTCCAGGTTAAAGAGGGAATGATGGACAATAGAAGCTACTCTAATCTACCAGACAAACTGCCCGTCTTCTCTGATTCTGTTCACTTGCCGCTGACCAGGTCTTTCTATCTGGACCCTATGGTCACTTTCCACTTGTACCCTGATGCCCCGGTGCCATCTCCTTACTCTGAAGAGCTGCCATTGCTGCCTTTCTCCAGTGACTCTGTGATCATGGACAATTATGGCGAGCCCTGTCCCTTCTCTTTCCCAATGCCTTATCCAAATTACAGACGGTGTGAATACTCCTATGGGCCAGCTTTTATCAGGAAAAGGAATGAACGGGAAAGGCAGCGGGTGAAATGTGTCAATGAAGGCTATGCCCAACTCCGCCATCATCTGCCAGAGGAGTATTTAGAGAAGCGACTCAGCAAAGTGGAAACCCTCAGGGCTGCAATCAAGTACATTAATTACCTGCAGTCTCTTCTGTACCCTGAAAAGGCGGAGACCAAGAAGAACCCTGGGAAAGGACTTCCCATAATGGCAACTGCAAGCTGCCATACTGACCCCATTTTTAGAATTGTTTGACTCAGTGTTTCCAAATGGAAACAGATAATTTCACAAAATGGGGTCTCTTACAGCATCCTTCAATAGTTTTCCCTGAATATAATTTCTGTCTGGGCAGATAGTTCAAAGGTTAACCTATGTTGGCTATTGCTTACCTAGATTTGAGATGTACTGGTGTGGTACTCTGGGCTAATGTGCTAGAATGCAAGGTCTGTTCAAACTGCAAAGTCGGCAGTTTAAACTCACCAGCCACTCCTCAGAAACCCTATGTATGGTTGCTATGGGACAGAACCAACTTGACGGCACTTAACAACAACAAATAGTGTGGTATTGTAGGATAAGTACTAGACAACAAGGTTGATTTGAACCGAAAAGTCAGTGATTGAAACTCACCAGCTGCTCCTCCGAAACCCTGTATGGGATCACTATGAGTTGCACCTGACTCAACAGCTCTTAACAACAGCATACATTACCTTATGTAGATTGAGAAGATGGCTTAAGTTTTGGTCATCTCTTTCCAGATTTTAGGGGGCAGAGGGGCCCAGGATTCTCTCTCCCTCCCATCCTGTCCTTCTCATACACTTGTCCAGAGTCTCAGCATGGGAGAACCTCTCAAACAAGCACTGAAAAGTATGATTAAGGACTACTTGCTTGTCATGCATTTTGCAGAAGTTTCATGTTAAACAATCACAATGAAGTTTCATGCTAAGCAATCACAAATCTCATGATTTGTCAAAGTTTTATGGTTTTTATTATTTGGAGTTAACAAGAAGTCTATACATTGTGTCCATGCCATAATGGGGAAGTAGCTAGGAACTAAAGCAAAAATTCTTTACAAAGCCTTGCTGTCATTTGAAAATATTTCAGAGTCACATTTTTGCTGCATGCTGAAAATTTCCCTAGACAACTTAGTATTGGGGTTGAGAAGGCAGTTTCTGGAATCCAAATGTCTTGGTTTAAATTCTGACTCCACTTCTTCCTTTCTATGTCTCAACTCCTCATCCACAAAATGAGAGCGATAATAACAGCAACTATTCAACCTGATGCTGAGCAAATAATCTGAGATGCTGGCTTCTGTGACGAAAAATGTGGCATCAGGATTGGAGGAAGACTCATTAAAAACCTGTGATATGCAGATAATACAACCTTGTTTGCTGAAAGTGAAGAGGACTTAAAATAATTACTGATGAAGATCAAAGACCACAGCCTTCAGTATGAATTGCATCTCAATGTAAAGAAAAGAAAAATCCTCACCACTGGACCAATAAACAACATTCTTATCAACGGAGAAAAGATTGAAGTTGTCAAGGACTTCATTCTTCTTGGATCAACTATCAACACTCATAGAAGCAGCAGTCAGAAATCAAACGACGTATTGCATTAGGCAAATCTGCTGCACAAGACCTTTTTAAAGTGTTGAAGAGTAAAGATGTCAGCTTGAGGACTAAGGTGCGCCTGACCCAAGCTATGGCATTTTCAATAACCTCATACACATACAAAAATTAGACAGTAAATAAGGAAGGCCGTAGAAGAATTCATGCTGTTGAGTTATGGTGTTAGAGGAGAATATTGAAAGTTCTATGGGCTGCCCATAGAACCAACATACCTGTGTTGGAAGAAGTGCAGCCAGAGTGCTCCTTGGAGGCCAAGATGGCCAAACTTCGTCTCTCATACTTTGGACATATTGTCAGAAGGGACCAGTCACTGGAGAAGGATATCATGTTTGGTAAGGTGGATGGATGGTCAGAGAAAAAGAAGACCCCTCAGAGAGATGGACTGACCAAGTGGTAGCATCAATGGACTCAAGCATGGCAACAGTAGTGAAGTTGGCCCATGATCGGGCGGTGTTTCATTCTGCTGTGCATAAGGTCACTATGAGTCGGCACCGACTGGATGGCACCTAACAACAACAACCCCATATGTTGGAGTCCTGGTGTGGTGCTGTGGGTTAATGTGCCAGACTGTAAAGCCATTTGAATTGCTCACCAGCTGCTCCTTGGAAACCCTATACAGGGTTGCTATGGGTCGGAACCAACTCGACAGCACTTTACAACAACAATAACACCCCATATGTTTATTTACTGACACCCACCAGCAGTTTAGGTCTCTCTGTCTCTCTGCCTCTCAAACCCCATGGTTGGACTTCATTTTGATGACCACATTGTCTAAATGTATCTGCTTGGTTTTCAAAATTCCCTGCAACCTGGCCCCATCTCAAATATCCACCTTGAATTCCCAGATATCTCATTCCCCTAGAAAATAAAAATCAGTCTTGCAAATGCATAGAATGTCATCTTTCTCTTCCACATTGCTATCAAAATCTCACCTGCCTCATTTAGGAATCCAGCTACTGCTGGAATCTTTGGTCTTTGTGGTAATAACTCTGACTTTGTGTACCAAATAACTCAGCTTTTAGATATACAGTCCGGGGCAATAGTTGTTCTCCTGAGTACAAACCCACAAAGTTCTGTGAGATAAATTATCAGTTGAGATGCTTCTGGTGCCTTCTGAGACTTAATTGTGGGAGCTAGGTTTGCTGACCCATGGAGCTAGAGTTGATTGCCTTTGAGCCTGAGGCTTATGGTACAGTGGTATGCCCTTTTAGGCATTTATTGACAGTGAGTGGAGCAGAAGCTAAGAGGCTTCATGACTAAGAGGCTGAGGACCAGTGAGAGGCCTGCCTGCAGTCATGACTGAAGAACTGTGACTTGAGTATTTCTTATCCTGAATTGTAACCTGTTGCCTTCCCTTGTTGTTGTTGTTAAGTGCCATCTAGTCAGCTCCGACTCAAAGCAACCCTGTATAGGGTTTCTGAAGAGCAGCTGGTCAGTTTGAACCGCTGACCTTGTGGTTCAAGCCAACCTTGCAGTCCAGTACTTTATCCCACAGTACCACACCAAGACTCCTTAATAAGCCCCATAATTGTGAGGAAAAAAGAGAAAAGGAAGAAGAAAAAAAGTAACAAGAAGGAAAAAAAGATGCTTTTGGTTGCAAATAAAGTAATAAAAGCTACAACCCAAACTAGCTTAATCACTGAAGGGAATTTACTGACTCATATAAATGAAACATCTCACAGTAGGGCTGTCTTCTTTTCTTTAGATCAATCTTCTCTGTCTTCTTCTTCAGGATCCCAAAATGACTGTGAGAAGCTCCCAGAACAACATGCTTTTTAATTTATGTACAGGAGCAAAGTGAGAGTCTATATCCCAGAATTCCCAACAGCCCTGGGATTCATTCTGATTGGAGAGGCTCAGAACATGCTCATTCTTAACAAGTCCCTGTGGCCAGAGGGATGGGAACGTGCTGACTGGAGCTCACCCCTAGAGCTGAGGGTCCAGCCAGCTTCTAAATACAGGGATCCCCAGAAACAGGAAACTAGGCAAAAGGGTGGAATGAATGAAGAAGACACACCCATTGATGTCTCTACATATTTTGGGGGGACTTCTCCACTGAACACAATGCCAGACACATAACTGGCACACAGTGACTGTCAAGATACCATAGAATAGCAACCTCCTTCTATGGATGTTTGAATAAAGACTCCCATGCCCTCCAGAACATAGGTCATTCCTCATGCTGCCATGTCCTGCCACTATTTCAGTAACCCTTGAAAACTGCTCTACTGAGAGTCATATAAATATGAAGAATAAGAATGTCTGAGCAGTAAGAGGATATAAGGATCCTCTCATTTCACAAGATTTGGGGAGGTGGAATGGCTGATCCAAGTCCTACAACTGGAGCAGAATCTGGACTTGTTCCATTTGTCTATTGCCCCACCACACAAGTGGTCACCACACCCCATCTCGTCACCAGAGTCCTGTCTGTTACAGAGCTTGCCCACAACTTCCGGTTCTTTTGTTTTAAACAATGGAAAACTTCTATGTTAGAATACCTAGATCAGTCAGAGGCTTCCCTCTTCTCTTAGCTTCCTTCTTGCACAGAGAGAAAGCAGATAGACAGCCTTGAGTTTCTGTTGAGGTCAGTTCTCGCCTTCACAGGACCCCTGAGATCCATGGGAGTTTCTGAATGTGACGGACTCTTCTAGCTATGAAGAAGTCTGCATTTTGGGAAATGAGGCTACACTGGCCTTTCTTTCCACTTCCCTGCCCCCCAGTATCTTCAATGGGAACAGTGAAGAACTACCATACATCACCACCCCCATGGCTCCCAAGATGTCCCCCTGGACAGCTGCCCTGCCAGGTCCTGCCCCAGTCCTTCCAAGCCACTCCGGTCACCCTTCTGCACATGCTCAGTCACTCACTTGACCACGTGTTCCTGCTGGCTTGCATCCATGGCAACCTGCCTGGCAACCAGGAGTCAGTGAAGCTGAGGTCCTGAGGCCCAACTGTCAGAGGGCAGAACAGAGGCTGAGGTAAAGGTGTGGAGTTTGGGACTGTGAGTAAGCCCCTTTAAAGGCCAGACCTGTGCACTTGGGCAGGGGCAGACCCTAACAGGATTTGGGTGGGCTGAGGCAACAGTTTGATCTTGGACCCTGGGGGGCAGCTGTTGTGTGTGAACAGTTTTGAGGTGGCTAGGCTCTGGGTTCTCAATTCAACCAGAACAGGGTTAGTCCAGTAGATGCTTGGGATAGGAGAGGAGTTTGTGACTTGGTGTAGAGGCTTGTTGCCAGAGTCAGAGCTGTTAGGGGTCCCTTTCATAGGGAGGTCCGAAAGCCCACTGCCATCATCAAGTCGATTTCAACTCAGAGACCCTATAGGACAGAGTATAGCTACACCATAGGGTTTCCAAGGCTTTAAATCTTTGTGGAAGCTAAGTGCTTAGCTTTCTCTTGTGGCAGCTGGTGAGCTCAAACTACCAACTTTCCAGTTAACAGCTTCCTCTTACTGGGGAAGAGGAAGGAGGGAAAAAAACAACCAACATTCGAGGGGCCTAAAAAAGTACTATGGAAAAATAGCATTAAAAGCTAATGGAATTTTCCACAAACTTTTTGGAGTCCCCTTGTATATTGAGATACTTATATGCCAGGTGCTTTACATATATTATCTCCGGAGTGGTAAGTGAAGCTCAGAGAGAAGCAAACACACGGCAAGCTATGCCAAAGGGATTTAAAGCTCGGTATCCCTAAAAACGGTTCCTGTGCCTTTAACCCTCCTCCTAGTTCCTGAGCTGAGTTCAGTCAGGTGATTCCAAGAGCAATTTTCATGTCTGTGGAAGAAGGTGAGCCGAGAATGAGCACGTTACCTGCAGAGCTGAATGAACCTCACCTTGCCAGCACCCTTTGCTCAGCTGGGGGCTGCCACTAAGGTAACAGTTGTGTTATTCTCAGGTGGTATCTCTGGAACCATGGACTTCTCCACAGGGCCCAAGTACTGTAGCGTGACCACAGCCCTGAAGGCCCCTTGCTGGGATGGTGCTGCTCCTCGCTGGGACCTGTCCTTTGCTTGTCCCTTTGCCCTCCGTACTCCCTGGCTCACCAGGCACAATCTCCCCACAAGGTACCTATCTGCCCCTCTGCTGAAAGGAGTTGTGTGCACCTTTCCTTTTTGTTCTTGGCTCTGGATGACATACCAGGAGGGAGACAGCTTGCCTGTTGGGAAAGCTGAAGGAATTCTTTACTGTTCTGGTTGTGACTTGCCTGAACACAGGCATGTGAGGATACCCACATTACACCCAATGACCTCAAGGGCTAGCCTGACTTTTGCTTTGCCCTGTAACAGAGTTGTGGTTGTCACAGTTGGTGTGTTTGAGCAAAGACATCAGGAATCACTCAGTTATAAATTATTCTAGCCATTTTACCATCAACAATGAGACTTCTGGCCTCACATGAGAAATTAGAGTTTCTACAACCAACAACTGGAGCCCTGGGGTGGAGCTGTATGATCACCTGGACTTCTAAACACAAGGTTGGTGGTTCAAACGCACCAACCACTCACTGGAAATCCTATACAGGGTTGTTATGATTTAGAACCGACTCAGTAGCACTTAACAGCAACCAACAACTAAGGTGGGATCTAGGTACCATCTCAGGTTCCTTCGGTATGCCTGGCTTTTCTGGACCCGCATCTTCAGTCAATTGTATGAAATGTGAACATTACTGTCCAAGTGGGCAAAGGGGCCTTGATCTCTACCCATGAATCCACTGCTGTCAGGTTGATTCTGACTCAGAGTGACCGCATAAGATAGAGTAGAACTACCCCATAGGCTTTCTAAGGCCATAAATCTTTACGGTAACAAACGTCCACACCTTTCTCCCATGAAGCAGTTGGTGGATTTGAACCACTGACCCTTTTTGGTTTGCAGTCAAGCCCTTAACCACTATACTACCAGGGATTCTCCTAAGCATGAGAGGGCTTCATAGAAGTTCATGGAAATTTTTTATTCTTTTAACTCTATTTTTGTGGGGACATTTTGAAGGCCCTTTATACAAATGAGGTAAATTCCAGGGACACAGGTTCTAGTTATTCAGTTCAGTTTGCCTAGGTGCAGGATACACCAGCTGGAAGGTGCGCTAAACTCCCTTTCTGGATTCACCTTTGTGGACCATTCTATTCAAAGCTAGAGTTAAGCATCCTTTGTATTCAGGCCTCAGATCCCTCCCCACAAAGAGAAGGGTTTGCACAGAAACCCAAATTTTGATTCAGCAACTTCGGCTGTACCCTGCCCACAAACTTCTCCAAACTAGCTTCTCCTTTTTCTGGTCCACACAGCCCCTTAGCTTTGCCCGCAGTTCAAACACTTCCTCATTCTCCTGAACCCATAGCGCCATGCGTCTTCACAATTTCGTTCCTCCAGCATTTCCACTCCTCATCCTGGAATCACTTTAGGATTTACCTGAAAACCTTAAGGACACTCTTACCTGGTCTGTTGTCTAGTTTCAGAACCATCATGAATCAACTTACATATATCAAGCCTAATTAAAATTTTAAAATTGCATCAATATATTGAAAATCCTAAAAGAATGATTCCTTGAACAACAGTCCACTTTCTCTTACTGGAAGTCACTTTGATAACCACTTTCACGTAGGTTTCTGTTTGATAAACAATTGTATGTCATGCACACACTGCAACTTTGCAGAGCTAACAGTGAAAAGTGTTTCTTGATATTCTTAAGGCCTGCTCTTCTCCACCCTCTAATTCCACTTGGTTTTCTCCAGGTACATGTCTAATCACCCATGTCTCCACATGGCTGATCCAGCATGGCAGAGGCCTGGCTGGCTGGGAAGAGTTGAAAACGCGGCTGACACATGGGTCCTAGCAAGAAGAGAACCAGATGGCTTTTATTACCGGGCTCAGATAAAGGCTGCTCCAGAGGCAAGTCCCCACCTCTCAGCATCTCCCAGCATGCTGCTCTGGGCTGGCCCTGCCATACCTGATGTGCATCAGCTGTGTGCACCCAGCAGTTCAAGTTCCTGGATAAGCACAGACCTGCTGGATTGTAGAAGGGAAAATGTTTACTCAATGTGTTTTGTTAAGGAAAATTCAGTATATTGAATTACCAGCCTAAGGGGTCAAACCAACCAGTTGCCCTCAAATTGATTCTGGCTCATTGCAACTTTATGTGTCAGAGTAGAGCTGTGCTTCATGGGGTTTTTCTATGGCCACATTTTTTGGAAATAAATCGCCAGGCTTTCCTTCTAGGGCACCCCTGTGTGAACACGAACTTCTAGTCTTTTGGTTAGCAGCTAAGTACCTTCACTGCTTCACTGCCTGAAGGAGCAGTCCAAAGTGCTTTCACACCCACACTTTGTGGTCTTCTGTGCACAGAGCTATTCCCTAGCATACACAGAAGGAGCCTGGCTCGGCTTGATTTACCTAGGGGCTGCTTACTCTTTAGAATCTTTTTCTTCTTTTCAGAGTCAGACTTCATAAATGCAGATCCCTAGGAGTAAGAGTAGTGTGAATTCTTAGAGAATTGAATTGTAAAATTAACACTCATTTTGTCATTTCCAAATAATTAATAGATGAATTCTAATAACATGTTAGTCCTCGTAGTGGGTTATGAGCTGAGCTGCTAACTCCAATGTCAGCAGTTGGAATTCACCAGGTGCTCCATGGGAGGACGATGAGATTTTCTGCTTTCATAAAGATTTACAGCCTTGGAACCCCTATCTATACAGGGTGGCTGTGAATCGGCACCAACACGATGGCACAAGCAGCAGCAGTTATTGCTAGTCGCTGTTGAGTCTGTCTGACGCATGGTGATGCCAGGTTTGCAGAGTAGAATTGCTCCAGAGCGTTTCCAAGGTTATGACCTTTCAGAAGCAGATTGTCAGGTCTATCTTCCAAGGTGCCTCTGGTTTAGTTAGAATCACCATTTTTTCCATTGAAAGACACTTACCTGTCTGTGTCATCCAGAGTTTTGCTTAAATGTAGGTTCTGGCTAGTGATTAAAAATTTTTTGTTGTTGTTATTGTTGAAAATATACATCTATTCAATGTTTTTGCATGTCTAAGTTAGTGACATGGATTCCATTCAAGTTGGACCTTTGCCACCCTCCTTTTCTGCATTGTTCCTCCCTCATTAACATACACTCACTTCCCCTCTAAGAGTCCTATCTAATCTTATTTGCTGTTATTAATTTGATCCCATATAGGTAGTCCTTAAAAAAAAGATCAAGACTGACATTTTATTTTAACTTTTTATTGTGAATTGAGTGATGGTTTATAGAACAGATCATCAGCCTCCACATTCAATAAAGCACACACTTGGTGTCATTACAATGGTTACAAGCTCCTCCATGTACCATCAGTTAACAGCATTTACCTCCATTCACTTTAACTCTTACACAGGCTCCTCCCTGTGATTTCCACTCCTAGGCTGGCATTCTTTACTAGTTTACTTGAACTATTCTTTGATTTTAAGAAGACTTTAAGGGATATTTTTTAAATTAAAAGTTTATTTCAGGGGTTCATCTATCCAAGCTCTGGAAAGTCTGGATTCTATGAGGATTGGAATTCTGTTCTACATTTTCCCCCTTTTGATGATCTGTCTAGTGATTTAATAAAAATAACTTATAATCAGATTCCTATTTAAAATAATACTGAGTATTTGAAAGCAGCTTGAACTTTTAATTGGCTTAAGTACTCTAGCTTCTCTTTTGTGTTGTCTATTTGCTTAGCCAAGTCCCTTTCTCATGAACTGGAAAGGCTGAGCTGAGGCTTGCCGTAAGTAAGTACCACAACCACTCTTTGGTCACCTCCACCATTTGACCTCATGGATGAGGTCATCCCTGGTTGGCTTAGACACAGAAACAGCACTTCTTAAGAGAGGAAATGTTGGTTCAGCAGGGTAGGTGTTGAAGGGATTAGGATTGCACTGGGGAAGAGGTAGAGGGCCCACCTTCCTCCTGGGAATTGTGAGTCAAAAACATAGGTGGGAAAAAAGAAACAAAGGGATAAGGAAGAGGATGGGAAGAGGAAGCAAGAAGCAATCATGGCAAGAAGAGGTAGAAGGAAGAACGTCTGTGCCCTAGCCTGTCTCTGCTGTTGTCCTGTCCCTTCTTTACATGGTCTTCGCTATTTGCAAGGAAACCCTTGGGCCTGGTGGGGGATTCTTGATGTTCCCTGCCTACTTCCTTATTCTGGGTGTTTCCTTCCTGACAGCTGGAGAGGCAGGGGTCCCTTCTTGTGGAATTTGAGGCCCCCTTTGTCACAGGCCCAAATCACAGTGTGGTCTTGGAAGGAGAAGTTGTTCAGCTCTCACCACCCATGGCATATCCACTGCAACCTGGGGACAACGTACTGGCACCTTGGGAGCCAAATGGACAAAAGTATGGCCCTGGCACTGTTCTTTCGGGCGTGGAGGCCAGAGACCCTCTGAGAGGTAAGGGAAGTCCTGAGAAGCCTGTGGTCAGGGCAGAGGAGTGAGCTGAGGGTGGCTCCAGACCTTATGGGTCTTAGAGACATTGAAAACAAAAATCAAATTTCATCTCCTGACTTGCAGCTTAATCCCAGGGTGGAAACAGAGATATAGACCATAGCTTTCGATTATACTTTTACAAGGACAAAATGTGTGTGCTGGTTAGCTAAACCTTGGTGTGTGGTAGGGCTAATCTGGGTCATACCAGTACTGGGGACCTATCCCCCACTAGTCCTCTTCCTCAGAGTCTGTCAGCACTATGTAACTGAGAGAGGTATATACTTCCTTTCCCATACCCCAGGATGCATTTTGGTTTTGACATGAGAAAAAAGGGTCCCTTGTGATTATCTTGTAGTCTGGGAGATGGGTTCACTCAAGTCCACTGGGAAGAGGTGTTGAAGTATGGAGCAGGTGAGGGGGAGGTTCCCACCAGCTTTCTAGGGAGCATTCTGAGCACTAAGACTCTGTCTTTGGGGATACGAGAACCCTTATTCCCACAATCAAGAGTTCATTGTAACAAGGCGGTTGCCCTTTTCTATTCGGTAGCTTCGAAGGATGAAGAAATCACTGTTTACTTCTGGAATGGCAAGACAGCTAAAGTTCCTCTAGGTAGGGTCAGGTGGGTGTCCCCGGTTGTCTGGAAAGCAGCTGTGGAGAGGCTACACAAGCCTGTCACCAGGGAGCATCCCAGCCCTCTCCTCTGGGCCCCTTGCTGCTCTCTGTTGGGGACAGTCACTGGATATGTTCCCCATGGGCTTCCTCTGGGCACTCCGTTCCTGTGCCCCCCCTGCCATCCCTGTTGCCAGCGGCTGTGCCAGGGCTGCCTCAGCTGCTGTTCCTCAGCTGGACCCACCTGGTGGCCTCTAACCTGGACCTCAGAAGTCACGGCCAGAAAACTTCCAGAGCCAGAGCTGAAGCCCACAGCACAGCTTTTGCCTATAAAGGGTCCTAAAGAGGAGGAGGTAGCCTTGCAATCACCCATGGATGTTTCTTCCTCCTCCTCGTCCTCTTTTGAGGAAAAGGATTTGGAGACTGATGTGAAAATGGGCCTTTCCCAAAGACTGCTGGTGAACAGTACAGTCAACACAGACCCCATCCTTGAGAAGACTCCATGGCAGGAGGACCTGTGCCGGCCGGAATGGAGGTACTGGAGGAGAAGTGGCCCTGAGCCGTGTCCTAGGAAACCAGGTACACCAGTGCCACATGGCTGAGGCCCACTGAGCCCTTCCCTCCTACATGCCTCTCAGGAACCGATGTAGGCTTCCACTATGGTGGGGCTGTAGGGTGGTCATGTTGAAGGGGCAGAGGCTATGATAAGAGGAATATGCTAGGTTTCCATTTAAACAAGCAAGTCCACCAAGAAAGAAAGTGCTAAAGTTTCTATTTAACACCTGTCTTTTCTTTCTTCACTATTCTTTACTGACAGGACACTTGTTTTTGCCCTTTTACCTCTTTTTATTCTTGAAGGCCTAGATTTTTCTCTAATTAAATTGTCAAAATGCTTCCAGGTGTTGAATACAGTGGTTAATGCCCTGGGCAGCATAGAAACCTGTGGATAAACATTGGTCAATAGGCCCCTTCAGCCTAGATGAACCCCTTACTTAACAGTGGGAAGCACCAGGGCACTGCATTAAGCCTCTGATACTTTACAACTAGTAGAGATTGTTGTTGTTGTTAAGTGCCGTTGAGCAGATTCCGAGTCATAGTGACCCTATATAGTTTTCAAGGAGCAGCTGGTGAGTTTGAACCACCGATCTTGCAGTTCAAACCGACCTTGCAATCCAGTGTGTTACCTACCCCACAATGACACACCAGGAATTCCTTGATTCCATATAGTTCTTAAAAGACCATAATGCTGAAGACAGATTTTCTTTCCTTTTTTTTAACTAGTTAAGCTAAACTATTGTTTGGCTTTAAGACGACTTCAGGGAGTATTTTTGGTTTAAGGTTTAAAGATAGTCTCAGGACTATAGTTGCAGGGGTTGGTTTATTCAGCTTCCTTGGCTCCAGACCAAATAGATAACTCAAGGCAGACATTCTTTACTAATTAAGCTAAACTAATGTTTGGTTTTAAGCAGACTTGAGGGGATATTTTTGGTTTAATTAAAGTTTAAAGATTACTTCAAAGATTTGAGGATTGATCCAGCCTCTATGGCTCCAGAACTGTTAGTGTATTTTCTAGAAGCACTCCAGGGGTTCCCTGGCTTTTCATTTGTGGAATGTCCCCCTGCCTCTATTAGGGAAACAAGAAGAGGGTTAAGTGTCCACTTAAAACCAGCTGAATGCTTTTTCCCCTCTCCTAGAGGATGCTTTGTACAGAAATAGAAGGGGTTCCTGGATTTCTGTGAAATGGGTTATTCTGAAATCACAGTGGGCGGCCTTGGCGGAAGTGACAGGCCAACAGCTGTTACTATAACATCTGCTTTCCCAACAAGTGATGAATGTTACCAGAATCTAGTTTTCTGGCTAACTTTTCCTTAGCTTCCAATGCCTCCTGAGTCCAACAGCCTGGAGAAAGAAAGGTTGTATTTACCCAACAGAGTGGTTTGTGGGGTCACCCAAGGTGCCAGGGTGGTCAGGCCTGGCCCAAACACCAGTCTTGCCAGTGCCTCCCAAGCCTGTGTTCCCATGACTGTGGCTTGCACCATGGCAGTTCTCTTGCCTGGGCCCAAACCCAGTTCAATTCATTCCTATAGAAGTATGCACTGCGTCTATCTTCATTGCCCAAGCCACTTACACCTGTGTAGTCTCTCTACATCTACACATTTAAACAGACACACTAAGTTTTTGCTTGTCACAGAGATAAACGCCAAAGCAAGTTAACTAACTATAACAAAGAGAAATACGTGGGGGCATCAAAAAGTTTGTGGGACAATGGAATGAAAAGATAATGTAATTTTACCATGAATTTTCCAAAGTTCCCCCATATAGTATGCATCTTTAGGTACTTTGCCTGGCTTTCCTTTAGATATTGGATTGTTATGCTTAGGCGGAACCATGTGTATCAATTAGCCTGCCCTCTGCCAGGTCCCAGCCCAGTAGCCAAGGCTGTGGAGACCATGCCCAAGATGAGGAGCAGAGAGAAGGTCCATGCCCAATCCTAGACAGTTGGAGCACAGTGCACAGGCGTGCAGGTGAAGCTCATAATGAACGCCATGCATCAGTCAGCGCCCAGAAACAAAGGCTAGCACAAGGTCTCCCCACCCCCTCCAAATTTATATCCTTTTAAGGAAGTGTATGTACTGCTTTGCTTCTCTGAAATATACTCCATAGCTATCAAGTACTGGTGCTTTGAGTCTGGACCTCTGCCTCCTGAAGACTGATCCTTTTATATGACGTCCTGATCTCCCCCAGTGTGAGGTCACTGTTTGATCTTAACAATCCCAGGGAGACCATATGGTTGTGAGCCAGCACTCACACTCTTCCCCTTCTGCCCTTGCTTATGAGTAAAACAGGATTCAAGCTGTCATTTTAAAAGTCAAGGAGGGGATGAATTTCTTTGAAAGTGTTTGATTGCTCTCTTCCTTAAGAAATCATCTATTTTTATTTTGCTTCATTTACTTCTTAGACCTTGTTTACCTATCAGCTTCCCCTCTCTTCTGACATAGTGATTTATAAACTCCTTCACTGGTAGTGGTTGGTTAGTTCCCTCTACTGTCTGTTTGAAAGAGCACCTGGAAGCAATTCCTATCCAATTCCAAATATGGCTATCAGAGTTTCCAAACAGCAGTCCTGGTGTGGTGCTGTATGTTAAGTACTGGACCACAAGGTCAGCAGTTCAAACTCATCAGTTGCTCCTCGGAAACCCTACACAAGCTGCCTATGAGTCGGAACCGACTCGACAGCACTTAACAACAAATAGCATAACAGCACATAGCGTAGCAGCCAGGCATGATTAATTAACAAGCTTAATTTCTCAAATAATAGTGTTAGGTTAAGAGAGCCAGTGAGCCTCAATGTAGGTCTACACAAGACATCAAGACTGACCCCATCAAATGGTGTGATATTCAATATAACAAATTGACTTTTGGGTTTAGGAACAAGACGTTGCAACGTATCTGGAAAGAAGAGGTCAACAAACAACTGAGAATACACAGTAAACTAGTGAGCAGTACCAAGGAGCTGAGCCTGGAGAAACCAAAGGAAGCCACCACCCTGCTAAACGAAGCCAAACATGAACACAGGGTACTGAGACACACAGACGGATAAAACTTCCCTTTAGAGTGAAAGCCCCAAGGACCTAGATAAGGGAGGAGGGCTCCTTCTACTGTTCCTTAGGTCAACACCACCTCTGAGAAGGATAAAGGCCATGGCTCCTCTTCCCAGAAAAATGTACACACTGACAAGTTTGCATGCAATTCCAGAAGCCTTACAAACCCCATAAAGTTAACCACGGACTTCTTGGGGAACGCAAGGAGCCATTTGAATGTCCCTCTACCTCTCTGGTGGCAGGCAGGGCTGTTTTACTGGAGTCTCTGGGCATGGGAGCCAGTGCGTCACTAGGCATACTAACAGAGCGTTACAAAGCTTCACTCTATTTTCATCAACATAATTAGACGTGCGTTTTTCTTGACAGAAGATTTGCTATATTCAGGATGAGACCAATTAGCGACTAAACTGGAGATGCAAAAGTACTGTTGATGTGGTCGCTTATAAAGTAATGACATGAGAGATGTCACAAAGTTTGTGGGAAAATGCCATTATCTTTTCCTTCCATTTTCCCATGAACTTTTTGAAGTTCCCTTGTATTGAGGCTTTTTCAAAATCAGCAACTTTTGACTCTAAAAACTACAATCAGCATGAGACCGTCAGGATTTCTTTTCTCTTATAGGGAGCTAAAGAATAGTGATGCTAAAGACATGAGGAAGAGTTACACAGAGTGGCTGACAAGGCCTTCTTCACAGGTGATAGTCAAGTAAGCAGCAACAGCTTCGCCCCATGAAGACCTCCTAGCAGATGAGTGGCAGGAAGGCGCCTCTGGTGTCAGGGGCACAGTGTGGCAGCCCTGCCCAGGGCTCCCTGCCACGTACCTGGTGAGATCTGTGGGGATGTCTTCTCCACAGAAGCTACAGGATGTGATCTGTATGGTTTGGGCAAATGTGTCCACAGTCGCTCTAGCATTGGTTCCTAAAGCCTTCAGTTGCACAGGAGCTACATTGGACTTTATGTCTTAATGCTAATAAATGGATTTCTCTTTATTTCTTAATCTCTTCCTTTATTATCATAATTAAGCTTGGCTTAGAAAGCAAGCACTAAAAACTGCTCAGACAGTGTCATTACATTATTACTTTCAGGCAAAAGTGGTTTGGGGGGTCTTCTACACACTCAAGTTAAATAAAACAGGCACTGAGAGAGACAGGCTCCAGTTTGAAGGTAGGCTGAACCTCTACAGCCAGTACTAAAAGCAGAATTCATGTGTAAACATTAAGAGAATCAGACAGTGGCTTCAGTCTCCTGCTACTTAAAAAGAGGTGATGTGAGTGAGGTCCCAGTGATGGTCAGCATCACATGGGGAAGACCAAGTCCACACTCTGTCCGGAATCAACTGCTACCACATGAGTCTTCTTGGTTAAGTCATTCGAACCTACGGTGACAGAGTAGGTCCCTGGGTAGACTTCTATGTAGAGGTCCTTAGAGATGCTCTCAGCCTGAAATGAGAAGAGATCAGCAGTTCAGAGGTTTTATAGCCCACTGTTGTCACTGTGCGCAGAGGACCGATGGAATGAACCACAATGAAGAGACAGAGGCCCTGTTTCGAGGCCCCACATGGCCACAGAGCAGAACTGTTATTGAGTGAACCCCAGCCTCTCACAACTGTTTCCTTCTAAAACTGGCAGCATCTACCTCACAAATAAGCATGGCGATGGAAGCACTGTGTAAATGTTAAAGCACGACAGGAACAGGCTAACAGGAACTCTAGTTCAAGGACTAGACAGAGGCAAAGAAAAGCTAATGACAGCTGTTCTGGAGATCCCTGTAGACACTGTTCACACAAATTAGTAGTAGTGGCAAACTACCTTGGAATAGTGAGAACCATGCCTTTGAATTGTGCTTGCTACATTATCAGGAAAATGAAACGTATCTCCTAAAGTTGAGGATACCATGTGTAGATTCCATCTTGTCACTGAAGCAGCAAGTTAGCTGGCTGGCAAAAGCTTTCCCCTGGAGGACTGAATGTCCTATTGTGCAGAACACTAGAAACCACAGTTAATGGAGAAATTTCTCTAGAGAACCACAGGGAATACATATCATCCGTCAAGGGTAAACTTTACACATGGCTAGGAGGTAGATTGTGGCAGGTGTGCTGGCAGAGTTCCAATGGCAAAAGGACACAGCCACACACCATAAAAGTTTATTGATCAGTACTGAAGGACAGCTGGAATGCCACTACATGCTTAGTACTTGGAAGGTCCCTCAGACAGAAGTGGTCAGACCCAAGGGAATAAACCAAATCACTAACTACTAGCAAATTCCACTAGAAGAAATAGATGATAATATTGATACTTTTATGAGTCCCCCCCACCCTGCCCACCTTGACACCTTGAAGGTGGATTTGAAGCCAGTTTTTTCCAAAGTGGTTACATGTTGTATTCTGCCCAATTACAATGAAACTGGAAGTCTATTCTCATTTAACTGACAAGAACATATATGACAATACAACTAGTTGCTGGTTATCAACTACGTATATGAACAAAGGTAGATTTCAGAAGATATGTCTGTTTGCATCAAAGGAAACACTGGAGTAGGTTGGCATCCAACATTGTGGACCCTCGGGAAGATCAGCATCAACAAAGATCAAGTGTTGGAGTAATCGAAGACTGTACTAGAAGAATATTCTTAGTTGCTACTAATCTAATATATTCTGAGTCCTGACTAATAGCAAACTGTGTTCTTATATACAAAATAAAAGTAAAGCAAATTATTGCAGCAACATCTTGACGTTCCTTTCCGGAGAATTCTGGTCCTTCAAAGTTCCAAGAGTCCATTGATTCATGACCTAATGAGTACTCTATCCTAAAAACAAAAAACACAGCCAATGTTTTCCTCCTTATTCAAAAATTTTACTGCATTGGTATATACTCACATACAGACATTTGCCATTCCAGCCATCTTTACGTGTACAATTCAGTGACATTACAGCCACCATTTTGTGCCAGCAACACCAGTGTTGCCGAATTTTTTTTTATCACTTTATTTTTTATCACAGATATGCAATACCCCTTACACAACATCTCTCCATCAATGTTTTCACAGGGAAACATCTGTGGAAATGGGAGCAAATCCCTTCAAATGCTTCAGAACCCAATCTACCCACATGTGTATGTTTCAGAATGTCAGCAATGATTTTCACTTTGTAAGCTTTCAGGTCAGGCCCTTCCTGCTGTGTGGACAGATGGTGGAATTCCATCAGGAGCCAGTGCTTGCCCAGCTGAGCACTAGGAACTTAGATGTGAATACTTCACATTCTTTCCAACCACAACTATGAGTTCAAGCACAAACAGTATTCGGGACGCTCCAAGTGAAAGAAGGATACCAAAGAAACATTTTTACATTCACTCAAAATGTTGTGCACCCTTCCCAAGGGTAAGGACATTACAACTTAGAAACACTACAGACTCAGTATAGACAGAGCGCCCTATATAAGTGAGGCCAGCTGGCTAACGGAATTGCAATGGTGGTGAAGCCCAGTACTCTAGAAGTTCTATACTCACAGGTTGGGATGCCTCTAGGTCATACCGTGATATTTGACAGACGTCTTCATGACCATGGGATTTGTCTTGTCTCTGAGGAGGCAAGTAGAAACACTGACTAGTGCCCACACTTTGATTCCTGGGTTGTAAAGAACAATTTTCTCCTCTGTTATTATTATTGTGTGCTCTTGACTCATAGCGACTCCTGTAGGGCAGGGTTTCTAAGGCTATAATCTTTACATAAGTAAATGATCACATTTTTCTGGTGGGTTCAAACTGTTGACCATTTGGTTAGCAGCTAAGCATTTAACCAATGGGCCACCAGGGGTTCCCCTATACTACTAGGAACTAACAAGTGTTCGTTCAGCTTTTGCTAAGCTGTCATCTAAGTTATTAAGGTTCTTTTTGTGAGGTATTTTAGTTAGTAATATTTACATGATTACTTTTGCACTTTGGAGTCAGATCTGGGTTTGAATCCTCTCTCTGCTGGGAGGGGTAGATTAATTTCTCTGAACCATAGTAAAACTGAGGGAGTTTAAAACAAAAAAAACCTCTTCTCAAAAATACAGAAAACTATTCCTGTTGAACCAGTTTAAGAAGTAAGACTCTGGCTTTCTCCAGAATGACATGAGGTAAAAGGAAAATTTGTAGTGCGAGGCCTATCACTTTTATTATCTTTATGAAAAGTATTTTGTTAAAATAGAGACCTTGTGCTTACAGTTCCCTTTTAAAAGCCATCAAAGACAGGTTGCTGTTGTTGGTAGGTGCCACCAAGTTAGTACCAACTCATAGTGACCCTATGTGCAACAAAACGAAACAGTGCCCGATCCTGCGCCAACCTCACAATTGTTACTAAGTTTGAGCCCATTGTTGCTGGCACTATGCCAATCCATCTAGTTGGGGGGGTTCTCCTTTTTCTTTGACCTTCCACTTCACCAAACATGGTACCTTTCTCCAGGGACTGGTCCCGCCAGTGATGATAGATGATGTCTGGCCATCTGGCTTCCAAGGAGCATTCTGATTGTACTTTTTCCAACACAGACTGGTTTGCTCTTTCGGTTTGTTCCGTGGTATTTATAATATTCTCTTCCAACACCATAACTCAAATGCGTCAATTCTTCTATGGTCTTCCTTACTGTCCAACTTTCACATGCATATGAGTATTGAAAATACCATGTCTTGGGTCAAGCACACCTTAGTTCTCAAATTGACATCTCTGCTCTTAAACACTTTAAAGGAGTCTTGTACAGATTAGCCTTATGCAATACGTCATTTCTTGACTGCTGCTTCTATGAGTGTTGATGGTTGATTTGAGCAAAATGAAGTCTTTGAAAACTTCAATCTTTCCTCCATTGATATGATGTTGTTTATTAGTGAGCTATGCGGTACAGTGGCTAAATGCTCAGCTGCAAATTGAAAATGTGACAGCCTTAAAAACTTTTGGGGGCTGTTCCAGTCTGTCCTACAGGGTCTCTGTGAAGAGGAGTCAATCGACTATGACGCGGTAATGATCACCTACCTTAGAGTAAATGTGAGATTATTCAAAGTCTTTTTTCCTCTCCCTAGCTACAGAAAAATATAATGTAAGCTCTTTATTACTGTTATTGTTAAATGCCGTTGAATCTGTTCTGACTCATAGCAACCCTACATAGGGTTTCTGAGGAGCAGCTGGTGGGTCTGAACCGCCAACCTTGCAGTTCAAACTGTCCTTGCAGTCAGTGCTTATCCTACAGTGCCACATAAGGACTGCCAAAAATCTCATGGCCCAACAAACTCGTATTTCATGTCCACTGCTGTAAGTTCTCTAAGTTTATACATTTTCAATGAACACTGTAATGCTTGGACATGTTGTTGTTAGATGCCATTGAGTTGCTTCCAAATCACACCTATGTGCATGTGACCTTATGCACAACAAGATGAAGCCTTGCCTGGTTCTGTGCCCTTCTCACATTGTTACATTTAAGCCCATTGCTTCTGTCACTGTGTTAACCCATCTCTTTTCAATGACCCTGCATTTTACCAAGCATGATCTCCCTCTCCAGGGACTGGTCCCTCCTGATAATATGTTCGAAGTATGAGAGACAACATCTCACCATCCTCACTTTTAAGGAGCATCTGGCTGTACTGCTCCCAACACATCGTTTGTTCGTCTAGCAGTCCATAGTACTTTTAATATTCTTCTCCAACACCATAACTCAAATGCATCAATTCTTCTATAGTCTTTCTTATTCATTGTGCAACCTTCACATGCATATGAGGCTACTGGAAATGCCATGACTTGGGTCAGATGCACCTTGGTCCTCAAAGTGACATCTTTACTTTTTAACACCTTAAACAGATCTTGTGCAGCAGGTATGCTTAATGCAATATGTCTCTTGATTTCTTGACTGCTGCTTCCAAGAGTATTGATTGTGGATCCAAGCAAAATGAAGTCTTCAACAACTTCAATCTTTTCTTCATTCATCACGATACTATATATAGTCCAATTATGAGTTTTGTTTTCTTTACAATGAGGTGCAATCCATACTGAAGGCTGCAGTCTTTGATCTTAAGTATTTTAAGCCCTCTTCGCTTTCAGCAAGCAAGGTTATATCATTTTTATATCACAGGTTGTTAATGAGTCTTCCTACAATCTTGATGCCACATTCTTTAGATAGTACAGCTTCTTGAATTATTTGCTGAGTATACAGACTGAATAAGTGTGGTAAAAGGATACAATCCTGGCACATACCTTTCCTGATTTTAAGTCATTAAATATTCCCTTATTCTGTTTGAACAACTGTCTCGTGGTCTATATACAGCAGGGATGGGGAACATCTGGCCCACAGTCTGTGAAAGACCTGCAAAATTATTTGGTCTGGCCCTGCCAAGGCACCCAAGGTTCCAGCCATCACATTAGGGGTGAGTTAATTCAATGTTTGACCAAATATAGCAGGCTAATTTTTAAGTTGACAATTTTGTATGGCCTGTGAATGATGTTATAAATTTTGACAGACAAAAGGTTCCCCACCCCTGATATGCAGGTTCCTCATGAGTACAGTTAAGTGTTCTGGAATACTCACTCTTTGCAAAGTTATCTGTAGTTTGTTAAGTTCCACACAGTTGAATGCCTTTGCATAGTCAATAAAACACAGGTAAATGTCTTTCTGGTTTTCTCTACTTTCAGCCAAGATCCATTTGTATGCTGGGCCATACAGACATCCAATAAATGCAAGAGCTCCCTAACAGTGTCTCACATCTTTTTTATTTTTTGCAATTGTTCAAAGTTCACACATCAAAACCCAATCAACAATTCCTACATGTACAACTCAGTGACTCTGATTACACGCTTCAAGTTGTGCGACCGTTCCCATCTTCTTCTGCAAAGTGATCTTCTCCTGCTAACAAGAACTCATTAATACTAAAAGCGTCCTAGCTGACCTTTTGAGTTGCTAATGTCAATTTGATCCCATATAGATAGTTCTTTTAAAAAGCAAGTGTTCAAGGCAAACATTCTTTACTAAATAAGCTAACTTGTGGCTTAGTTCAATGACGACTTCTGAGGAGACTTTTGGTTTAAGCTTAAAGATGATCTCAGGACAACAGTTTCAGGGTCTCACATCTTGGGCATCTTCAGGCACAGCACAGGACAGCTGAGAATACATACCTGACCAGTTCTTGTGTCTGAGCACCAGGACAGCTCTGACTTCCCTCTGTGGTATCGATAAACATGGCTTGCCCCTACTTCCTCTGGTACAGATGAATAATATTTCTAGAGAAGTAAAGTAAAAGATGTTGGGTAACCAAGCAGTCCAGTCAAATTAAAAAAAAAAAAAAAAATCCTCTGATACTTGGGCAAAGTGTGAAGGAAGTAAGCAAGAGCTCAGAGGTGAGCTGTTTGCCCCCTGGACAGGCATCTGCAGCTATACCAAACCTGGCCTCGGGACAGTGGCTGCAGAGAATGAAAACGGAATCTGACACTGCTTTGCTGCCATCTGCTGCCTCTGTAGGGCAAGAACTCTGGACGAAGCTGGGCAAGAGCAGATGAATTTTTTTTTTCCCCCAATGTCCAATAAATACACATCTTTGGACCTCCTATCATGGCAAATTCTGATGAAATAGTTCCATGTTTGTTGTCCAAGTCTCAGACAAGGATGAGGGAAGAGAGGGGTACACACCTCCTTGAAATTTCAAAATAAAGCAGGTAGTAAAATAAACCCAAGTGTTCTGCAGCCCTTCTGATGCTCTCTATGTAGGGAGTTTAAGGGAAATAATTCAGAGGATCAGAAAGCAGTTACATTTTTCTCATCCACTTCTTTTCTCCCCCACGAAGTTGACCACCAACTTGCTCTTGATGATGACTAATAATGAGGGCATCACAAGCCTACTTGTTTTGAACATAGTTCAGGGACAGTGTCTAAGGCATGTGACCAGAAGACTAGGAATCTAGGGGAAGAACTTCAGGACACAGATATAATTATGTATTGTAGGTGCTACTTCAAAGTTGTGAAGGCAAACCCTGAAGACTGGTCCTAATACTATCTCTAGAAAGCCCAAGGATTCTGAGGCTCCTTTCCATAATAGAGACTTGAGGCATGAGCTGAAAACCAAAATGAAGAACACCAATTTGCTAAACCTCAAACCAAAGACAAATATTTCTTCTACTGAAGCCGTGAACCAAGTGTTTAATTTAAATCACTTTAAAGCAGAGCCAGAGTTATGTATTTAATATAAATGCTGTAGAAAGAGTAGATTGTTTTGAGTTCTTAACATACAAAACCAAAACGTAGGACAGAAGCAAGATATACTCTCCTTTCTCCTCTACCCATCTGCACCCTTACAACCAACCACATGGTGGTGGTGGTGGCGGTGATTGTGTGTTTGGAGTCAGTTCCGATTCAGGTTCCCTGAATAAGGTTTCCAAAGTTGTAAGTCCTTGCAGGAGCAGAAAGCTTCATTTTTTTTTCCTGTAGAGCGAGTGACTGGTAGATTCAAACTGTTGACCTTGCAGTTAGTAGCCCAACTTGGACCATAGGTCCTTACAACCAACTACATTAAGACTCAGGAAATGTTAAGGCGAGAAGAAATCAGTCAACTGTAATTCCTAGAAGACAAGGAATACCTTCAGACGCAGGAAATTTTCTTGTATGTCTCCTGGCCGGTCTTCACATCGCTCCATAGTACTAAATGTATTGTTTTGAAAAACTCTGAGAGGAAGAGGGACTCTAAAACCTTTGTTCATCTATTTCAATAAATGGTACCTTTACACCTCACCTGTGTCTCTTTTGCCCAATTTAAGTCAATCTTCTGGTGTTCATCTCTGAGTGGAAACCAAATATTAAGGCTGAAAAGAACTTTGGTGGTTGTGGTTTTGTGCCACGAAATCGGTTCTGATTCAGTGACTCTGCATAGGGTTTCAAAGAGTGTAAATCTTTACAGGAACAAAAAGCATTGTTCTCCTGTGGAGTGGCTAGTAGACTCGAACTGCTGACCTTGCGGTTAACAGCCCAACTCGTAAACCACTACACTACCATAGAGATCTTCATTTTATAGATGGGAAGGTGCAACTGAGTGAGACAATGAGGCCTAAGGTCTTTTAGCTAGTGATGTGACAGAGCATGGGTATGATTCCCAGGAAGTTAGTTCTTCTATTAAGTCATGTGAACTCTCCCCCATCCCCCAAATGAGGCTGTACCAACAACTGATATGGACCCACAGGGGCACACTTGAACATTAGACATTAGTTAGAGGTTAAGATCTAATATGGGAATTTTATTTCCAATTTTGTTTGTTTCAATACACTCTGAAAACAGTCTCAGTTCCAGTTTAGAGTAATCCTCAAGGTTTGTTTGTTTGTTTCCCTCCAGTTAAAAATTAAAAACACACACAAACTACTACTATTTGACCTTGATTCCTTTGGAATTCAGCAAATAAGCATCAGTGAAGGAAGTGACCTTTTGTGGCTTGTTCACTGCTGGATCCTCAAAACCACCTACAGTTAGGCATTAAATACATACTTGAGTGAATTCTTAGATTTATCATCTCGTTTACAGCCTTATCTGATTATAATTGTTGCTCAGTAGAGGATAAACAGATAAGTCTTCAGGTTGTCCCTGAATTCCAGAAAGATCTACATTGTGATGCTTCAGCTACAGTGGCCAGGAGGCTTATACCAACTTACCCCACACTGACTTGAAGCATAGTCCATGAACTCAACCATTGTTCTGAAGGAAGCACTCAGGGTTGGGTATCTTTCTTCTCTCTGTCAAATGAATGACAAATCACAAATGATGTAAAGGATTCCCTGTTGGAGAATGAAGCCATTTTGGAAATGGCCTTTTTTACCTCTGGGTAGGCCTCCATAAGTTGAAGTGAGTAGGATATTACTGAGAAACAATTCCAACTATCAAAAAAATGTATAGATGTGCCATTTCTCCAGGTATGTTTGCTACCTTCCTGCTCAGTGCTACTGAGTCGATTCCAACTTATAGCAACCCTGAATATAGTTTCTGAAGAGCGGCTGGTGGGTTTAAAGCACCCAACATCGTAGTTAGCAGTCCAGTGTTCATCCTACAGCGTCAAACCAGGATCCCAAATATCAGATAGTAATATGTAAGAATTATTTCTAAAAGGGGTGTGCGGCGGGTAACTAACCAGTCCCAAGCACTACAGTTACCCAATGAGAATCTAAAATGTGAAGTTTGCAAAGGTGTTTCCATTTACTGTATTTGGGCACGCAGAGCCTGATGCTTTCCAGCCACTGCCAAGGAAAGGATTCTTCCGGTGCGTGTGTAAGCCACACCCCTGGTTCCGCTGAGCCAATGAATGGGCTAGTTCCCCCACAAAGGGACCCTCACCTCTCCAGGGAGAAGTCGCTGAGGGTCGGCCGCCCGTCGTCTTTCTTGGTCTTGCCCCTCTGGGGCACGAACTCCCATGCTGCCTTTGGGGAGCTCCAGTAAATGCCAGTCCACCGCTCTCCTCTTGGCCCGCTCCAGCACTTCTTGACCCAGCCTAGCCGAACGCTGCAGACTACGTCGGTCCATCCCGTTCAGCGCCGCGGCTGCCAGACAGTTCTCCATGTCTCCCTGGGTGGCCACATATAAACACACAAGATGGTCAGCAGCGTTGCCTCGGCCCTGCTCCAGCTCGGGTCCATACCCGGGGTCCCCATACTCGACCACCACTCACATTTCGCACTTAAAGTGCACACCCCGAAACTGGAGTGAGACCCCAAGCGCCAACCCCTCCCATTTCTGTCTTCTTTTCCCCTTCGGGGGTAGCCCCACACCCGCTCACCCAGGCGCATGCGTTCAACTCTCTCGAGAAGATGAGGGCCCGAGTCTGGAACTCCTGGCGCCAGCGTAGCAGACGATTGGCGGGAGGCGGGGCGGGGCGGGAAGGACTACGCCCAGTACGCCTCTTGCGTAGGGGCCGAGGCCCGTGCGCGCCTGTTGCCCGGCTAACTGTATAGCGCAGGGGGCGGGGCGGGGACGGCGTGGATGCCGGAGTCAAGCTGACCGCTAAGGTCTATTCAGTGTGCTCGCTGTGACCTAATCTTTGGGGTTTTCTCTGCTACGGTACCTGATGAATCTAATGGAATATCAGGTGACCTGCTGTTGGACCAAACAATTTGGGGAAATAAGACTATTGGCTCCAGATGCTTCTTTCTTGCTGTTCTATATGTTGTTTGATGTCTGCACTCTAAAACAAACCACTTTTATTTGAGGGTACGGTTAGGATGGGCAAAACAATACGGCCGGCATAATGGCGTTTGGAGAGGGGAACTCTGACCAGCAGTATGACAGATAAAGTTTGGGTGATGCTCAGCCGATAGTGGGTGTTTCTGGTCCTCAGGGAGTTTGTAGTTGTTTTTCCGCGTAATTCCCTCATGACACCACTTACGTGATTAGTACGGATTCAAGCATTTTTGGAGGCCTCCTCTCTTGGGGGTTTGAATCCACCTTTCAAGAATAATTGTGTTAAGTAAGGAACTGCACAGTTACCTTTCAAGTGGACTTGGTTATGCAATAGGAGCGACAACCTAAAGTCTCGTTACTAATTAGACTACACCACCCTGTGTGCATCAAGACATCGATGTTCAGAAAGGAACAGCTTAAGGTTACTGCTCCGTGGGAGCCACGTTGACACACAACAGGCTCCAGGAAATCCTCTATACTCTGCTACTCTCTACAGGTCGCTGGATTCGCAGTTCTGAACTACCAGGTGAGTATCAGGACGCTACCACAACCTCCACCTGTACTTGTATGTTTGCTCCTGACTTGCCTTCCTCAAAAAAGAGTAACAGGTTGAGTGAAACCTTGAAATATTTCTTCATTTTATGACAATTCTAAACTTGTTTCCTTCAATAACTTTAGCAAGCACTTCTTTTAGAACAGGAGTGGTTTTTGTTGATTGCCATCAAGTCTGTTCCAACTCTTAATGACCCTGGAAGTGTTTCCAAGGAGCGGCTGGTGAGTTTGAACCGCCAACTTTGTGATTCAAACTGACCTTGTGGTAGAGTGCTTATCCAACAGCGCCACACAAGGAATCCTAGAACCAGGTGTTGGTTGGTCGTTATGTGCTGAGCAGTCAGTTTCAACTCATAGGCAACCCTGTTTAGGGTTTCCAAGGCTGTAAATCTTTACAGAGGGAGCAGAAAGCCTCATATTTCTCCGGTGGAACAGCTGGTAGTTTTGAACTGCTGACCTTGAGGTTAGCAGTCCGATTGTAACCACTACACTACCAGAGCTCCTCCTGAACAGGACGAGGAAACTTTTTTCCTGCCAAAACTTATAACATTATTCATGGGTCATACAAAACTATCAACTTAAATATTAGCCTGCTATATTGCAGCTGTTCCGCGGGAGAAAGATGAGGCGTTCTGCTCCCATAAAGATTTACAGCCTTGGAAACCCTGTACAGGGTCGTGTGAGTCGGAACCGACTCCACGGCACACAACAACAACAATATTTGGTCAAACATTTAATTAACTCACCTCTAATGTGATGACTAGGCGTCCTGGTGTGGCGCTGTGGGTTAATGCGCCAGACTGCAAAGCTGTTTGAACTACAAGGTCAGTGGTTCAAGCTCACCAGTCGCTCCTTGGAAACCCTATACAGGGTCGCGTCGCTGTGGGTCGGAACCTACTCGACAGCATTTAACGACAAAAACAATAATATGATGGCTAAGGAGCTCTGGTAGCCCAGTGGTTACGAATCGGGCTGTGAACCTCAAGGTCAGCAGTTCGAAGCTACCAGCTGCTCCCGGGGAGAAAGATGAGGCTTTCTGCTCCACTAAAGATTTGCAACCTCCGAAACCCTGTACAGGGTCGCTATGAGTCGGAACCGACTCCACGGCACTTAACAACAACAGCAATGTGATAGCTGGAACTGTGGTTGCCTTGGTAGGGACAGACAACGATTTCACCGGCCTTATACAGCCTGCAGGCCAGATGCAGGTCAGATGTGGCCCACACCTGCTTTAGAACATAGTGTATGGAATGTCAAATATGGAGACCTGGGTTTGAATCCTGACCCTGCCATCTTTTACTGTGAGATTCTGGACAAACATATTACTTAATTTACTGGAGGTTCTTTATCATTATCTCTATAATCCTGAGATACAAACAGTACCAACCTTCTAGGTGGTGAGCTCCTTGATGGCAGGGACCATATTGCTTACTGAGTTTAAGATGTATCCAGCATTTTCTGTCACAGTAGGAGCTAAACATACCTATTCAAGGAATGCAACAATCTTATCAGAAGATGTAAAATGCTTATGATCACAGTACCTTGCAAAAAATCTGCTTTGTAGATTTAGTTAGTAGTAATATGTGCTACTCTCTGCCCTAGGAGTTGTGGAGAATAGAAAGTATAGGAGACTTAAAAAGAAGAGATGATGCACATAAAATCTTTAATGCCAGGAACAAAATATTATGACAATTTAAAGATTAATACAGATCAAATGCTATGAAACTCAGAAGAGAAAGATTGCTTTCAACTGGGAGGATCGAGAAAGACTTTTCAGAAAAGACTAGGCCTTGAATGAATTCATGACAGAAACCAAACCCACTGAAGGAATGATTAAAATATCTGTTAATAACTTATAATGAGTCTGGTTGTGAGAGAGACAAAGTGTAGTCTTAATTATTTATGGATTTCAAGCTAAGAATTTATTCTTACCAGTTATGGATCCTGGCTCTGTAGCAGTTAGCTGTACCTGTGGAACCATGATCTGGTTAATTAACTTTTCTATTCTATACCTCAGTTTTGCCATCTACAAAATGGAAATATCATAATACACTCCTTGTAGAGTTGTTGTGGGGATTAATTTAATTTAATTTATATGAGGGTGCTTCAAATAGTTTATGTAAAATGGAATAAAAAGACAGTGGAATTTTCCACAAACTTTTGGAAGCTCTCTTGCAAATGTTCTGAATAGTTGTTCTTGTTGCTCTTCTTGTTAAGTGCTATTGAGTCAGTTCCCAACCCACAATGACCCTGGATAGGATTTTCAAGGAGCGACAGGTAAGCTTGAACTGCCAACCTTAAGGTTCAAACTGACTTTGCAGTCTAGCGCATTAACCCACAGCGCACTGAATAGTACTTGTTGTTAGGTACCTTTATAATGACCCTATGCACAACAGAAGGAGCTCTGGTAGCGCAGTGGTTACGAATCAGGCTGTGAATCTCAGGGTCAGCAGTTCGAAATTACCAGCTGTTCTGCAGGAGAAAGATGAGGCTTTCTGTTCCCGTAAAGATGCCTCAGAAACCCTATGCAAGGTCACTATGAGTCGGAACCTACTCCACGGCACATAGCCACCACCACCATGTACAACAGAACAAAACTCACTGCCTGGTCTTGGACCATCCTCACAATTATTATATTTGAGCCCAATGTGGCTGTCACTGTGCTAATCCATCTCATTAGGGATCTTCCTCTTTTTCTGCTGACCCTCCACTTTACCAAGTATGATGTCATTCTCTAGGGACTGATCTTTCTTGACAACATCCTAAGAATAAGATACAAAGTCTCACCATCCTGGCTTCTAAGGAACATCTGGCTGTACTTCTTCCAACACAGATTTGTTTGTTCTTCTGGCAGTCCATACACTTTCGATATTCTTCACCAACATCATATTTCAAGTGCATTGATTTTGTGTGATCTTCCTTATTCATTGTCCAACTCTACTTAGCACAGAACAAGTACTTAATACATGTTAGCTGGTATTGTTATCACAGTTACACTGTAACCTAGTTTACCAGTATGTCTTCATTCACCTAATGCTTTAGGTACATCTCACTCTTATATTTTTCCCCAGGGTTCTACCCGCCCTTCCAGTCTGTCCCAAATGAAGTATTATTTACTTTTTGCTTGTCAATTTAAAAAACCCTTCTCCACCAACTCCCAATTACCACTTCTATTTTTTTTACTTAATTTATAAGTCTGACATATTTAGCTATGGTTCATCATCTTCCACCAGCTCATGAACTTCTAATTTGATCCTATATGTACAAACTCTGTAAAGTCATGGGTGTTCAATAGGCATTTACTGAATTGACTCTGCTTTCACTTTTTCAACTGAAATAGCTACTTGTTAGGGCAGACAATTAAGAGTTACCGTTGAAATCTACCTATGTGCACTTTAATGAGTGGAATGAATATCTAATTGTGACTACATTTCCCCAAAATGTATAAGCTTTTGGGAAAGAAAACGCCTGGAATGAAACTGAAACCTAAAAGTGACACCACATTAAATTTTAACACTTCCTTATCATTTCAAGGTTTGTCCTGTAAAACACACAAAAATATCCTTTTCTTTTTTTCCTCTTTTATGACTCCCCCCAGAAATAACTAAATATTGAATAGGAATAATTATGGAATACAACCTACATCGGGGTCATTGCAGATCATATACAGCCCAAGCCAGTTACTTCTGAAAACCACTAGTGAGACTTGGAAATAGAACAGCAAATGGAGGATAGGCAACTAATGAGGAATATTACTGGATATTTGTAAGAAAATCAGTTGGTGTGTGTCTTTCTTGATTTCTTTTTCACAATGGTAAATTCATTACTGA